GATTAGGTTCTAGCTCTTTTACTTTTTATCCTCTTCGCCACTGATCGGCTTGTTAGCCGCTTGGGCGATCGGTCACGACTCTTTTCCTTTATATTCTTCACCAAAAGGTCGGCTCGCTAGCCGCCCGGGCGATCGGTCACGTCTCTGTCACGCACTGTTGGCAAATACTGGGCATGCACCGGCTCCTGAATGTACCTGAACCCGCTCCAGTGTTGGTCAAGTCTTCTCTTGAAAGAGCTCACACTCGGTGCCGTCACAACACTTTCTGGTAGATTGTTCCAAGAGTTTACAACCCTCACTCCGAAAAAGTTTGCCCTCACGGTTTTCCGGACTTGCGGCTTCTTCAATCTTGAGCTGTGACCCCTTGTGGGGCGAGCGTCCGCCAGCTCCAAGTAAGGACACTCAACTGAGTAGTGCCCCCTGAGATGCTTATAAACCTCAACTAGGTCCCCCTTGCCCTCAAGCCTTTTTCATTTAGTTCAAAATATCTATATTTTTGCAGTAGCCATTGTTCCAAGGAAGGGGTGACGACCTCTAGCCATGTTCTTGTGGAGCTGGCTGAGCAACGTATCTTTTGTTTTAATAACAGTAGAAGGAAGGGGCAAGATGACAAGTGTTGGAGAGGCCAAGGATAGTGTCCTTTGGTCACTCATCATTTTAATGAAACATTTTTCTGTTTTAGAGAATTGAAGCTTTTTGTTTATAGTCGGGGGTTTATTTTCTAAGAAGAGGTGCAGGATTCAACTTGCTACTTATGTTCACAAGGAGGTGGTCCTATCTTTTTGGTTTAATTGAAAGATTGAAGCGTGACTTGAAGGTACAGTATTTATTTGGCTATGCAGTTCTTTTTCTTTGTATTAAATTTGATAATTTTTAGATGCATTTTGGTATTGGTGGTGGATTGTTGACTCTTATTCTGCTTAATCTGAACCAAGCGTGTTCTTCTCTTGCTCTTCTTACTGGTTCGTTGTCGAGTCAGTTAACTACAGTTTCTGAGTCTAACTCTCGTACTTGTTCCCATGTTGTTTTGGCTTGAATGTAGATGTCTACGTTTACTGCGTTGATGTTGGCTCTTCTATGGAGTTCTCCATTTGTTACTCTTTCTTCGTAATTGATGTTATATATGAATCTTAGGCTTTTATTTTGTACCGTTTGAAGTTTCTTGATTTTCCTTGCACTAAATGAGTTGGTTGGTACAGGCGGGTAGCACATTACTGATTTTGTTAGTGCCGTGTATAATTTCCTTTTGTTTGGTATGATCAGGTTTTTTTAATCTTCTTAATTTTGAGAGTTTGCAACGTAGTTTGTGGACTTTTTCGTTGATGAAGCTCTGGTAACTATTTTATTTTTTCAGTCCCAGGTGCTGCCTTCGTTGGTGGCCAAAAAGCCTTCTCCATAACCCTCAAGAGCCAGAACTATTGTACACTAAATAGTACACAAAAGATGAGAGTTTTCTACTAGTTACACAAGGACCTAGTAGACCTCTCCAACTAACACAATAACAAACAACCCCTTGCTAGCTAGCTTAGCCTCCTCCCCCCCTGTTCCCTTGAGCTCAGGCGACCTCTTAGTGCGGCCTTCACCACAGCCAATCAAATCGTCTCTGCTAGGTGGATAGCCCACCTGCTCTTATTCTCTACTACTTTACTTCCCGTTTCATAACTTTCCCTCTACCTTACCTCTTCTCTCCCTTCCCATGGCAAGCCATTTTATCTCCATTATCATCATCATCATCACCTATCTTTTTCTACCTACACCAACCAGCAAGCAACGCCTCCTCCTCCCTGCCTGGCGGCCCTCGCTCCCGCCAGCGACCATGGCTACCCACAAGCTGGTCCTCCTCTGAGCATCCTCACCAACCAGCTCTCACTACTCAACGCTTGTAACCATGCTGCCTTCCCAGCACCAAGCTGCACTGTACATCCAATACAACATGTATACAGAGAGCACATTGTGAGTTTCCTTTCTCCATACCATCCTGAGTGTGAACCAAACAACCCGTACCCCACAACCCTTTATGTATAGAACTAAACAAATAATGTAATTGAAATATTGTGTAACATTCAGTGCCATAATATCCTGACAACGGGGGTTAATTATTATGACCCGTTGTAAACTCTACTCTGTAATCCTTTTGTGCTACCGCTCACAGGATGAGTGTGGGGTGCACAATAAAGTAGCTGTTGTAAGCGGTAAAATCAAATCCCTCAAAAAAAAATTAAATATTAATAAACTCATTTGTCTATCAGTATTTATCTTTCCGTCCCTATTATTAGCCAAAGATTTATATATTGTGAAGTATAATAGTGTGTAATAATAAGGAAACTCCACTACACTCATCCCCCCACCATTAACCTCCCCTTCCCCCAACGTAATTAACATACGAATACAAAGGCGTAGAAAGTTTGCATAATTTTTGGTAAAAAACAGAATTATGACAATAGTATTACAATCTTACTTTGTTTAGTTCCTTCATTTTATTATCCCTGAAGATCGTAGCAACTTGAAGTTAGGTAAATCCTGAGGAGTGAGTGTAACTTTAATGGCCTCGTCATAATCAATCACGTACTGGTTCAAAGTCTCTGCCCTCTTTAAAAATCGCCACACAGATTCTTCATCAACTAAATCATGCAAGGAAGGGTCTGCTGCAGGTCGATGGCCACCGTCTTGACATCACCATTCCCAGGGCCACCCTGCTCCGCCTGGTGAAGAAGGTCCCGAGGCACCTGTGCGATGGCCTTGTGCTCCCTCAGGGTGTTCCTCACATCGCTGGTGTCCTGACCATCCTTCTGGAGGGAAGAGATATGGGTCTCCAGCTTCTCACAGGTGTTGCAGACGTCGGTGAGAGGAGCCCGGAACACGATGTTGTAGTCCCTCGTGAATACAGTGTGGTAAAAACTCTCGGAGACAGTTTCTTCATCAGGATAATGTTCGCTCATCCACACCAGGCACATGATGTGGAGTTCGGTGAAGCTGCCCCCTGCCTCAAGGTACCGCCTGTGAGGGCTGTGTGCATGGCTGTAATGGCTAGCGAGCACTGGCAGGGCATGAATGTGCTCGTGCACATGTTACAGGCAGCTCCCTGTGATGGCCCTAGTGGATGGATGATGTTCTCACTTGTCAAAGATGAGCATTCCACTTGGTGATTCCTTCCTCTTATGCATCAGGAACCTCCATCTTCTTCTTGCCTACAGCACACTTCAGCTTCAGTCCGCTTTCTCTTCACGGGCACGTCCCTGAAGAGTGCTTGCAGGTAGCCGTTCTGGGTGTTATAGTCACCAATTGCCCAGAAATTGGTGTCGATGTTATCCCTGCCGAGCTTGTCGAAGCAGCCGTCTGGCCAGGGAGGGCCGACCTGCCTCACCTTGACTACTTTCTTGGTACTGTAACTTACATACTCCTCACCCAAATTCCATTTACGCTTGACAACCTCCTTTGCCTACTCGCCAACCCTACGCTCTCCAGTCCTGCCTTTTTTTTTCTATAGGGCCTCGGGAGGTACGCTTCTGACCCCTGCAATCTGCATTACGTGGTGCTCCACCACCACCACTAGGCTCCCCAACATCACCAAGTAGCTCATCACCCAACATTCTCATGCACGTCACCTGCACCATCGCCAGTAGCACTTGTATCACCATAATCAACACTCAAGTCTTGCTCTAATTTCGGGCAGATATTGCACAGCACTTCTCACACCCATGGAACACAAATAACGTCAATGTTACGCCGAAGTTATAAAAAATAGCAGTAGAACGTACACTGAACCTCCTGATGCTAAAATGCGCGCCAAAACTAAGGAGGAGGCAGCATCTGGGCGCAAGGATTGGCCGAGGAGCTGTGAGGTAGCAAAGGGAAATCCATTGCGATTGGCTGCCTTGAGGGGGGTATGGTCCGAGGGAGGCGCGCTGTCATTGGTTCGCACTCCTCTCGCTCTGAACGGAATGATGCCACTTTTTGGAACTGAGTGCACTGCCAGATACGTAGCTCCCGGTCTGAGGCGAAATCACACTATTTTTTAAGGACTTTCTACCGTATTTCTATTCTAGCGAGAGGGTTACATCCAATGCCAACATGTAGAGGAAGGGTGAAAATATTGATATCCATAAAAAAAAACGCATTATGGCCGGGGTGTCGCTTCACCCCCTTTTGACTAGTAGCGCCTCATTTGTTAGAACGATGTCTGGGTATCCTGTGTGGCCTGCTCTAATGTACGTGGGGAATTCCGGTCCGAGGTGTACTACGTTGCCGTGACTCACTAGTGTGTTCAGCACCTGGCCTACTACGTTGTTGGTGTGGTGTCCTAGTATGCGGTGTCTAAGGTTGAGATCGTCCAGAAAGTAGGCAGGTATGTTCCTCCTCATCAATCTGAGCATGTCCACTATTGGAAAGATAGGTCTTCTTGGAGGGAGGTAGCAGGTGCCGCTTATGATTGGAAGTATATTCATGACATAAAATCACTTGGACATGATGTAAGTTTTATGTGGATTCCATCCCATTGTGGTATTTATATGAATGAGGTTGCTGATGATTTGGCTAAGCAAGGGTGTGGCAAAGAAATTGTAGAATACGATTGTATTTTGGTATTAAAATAATAAAATCTGGAATGGTAAATATCTGACAGTTATGGAAAATGGATAATATTCTGACAATTTTGAATAATGGCAATACTGCAGTAGTTTGAAACATTCTGTTCGAGTTTTGAATTCTACAAGTTCTACTTATGGTAAAACTTCGGTTAAGTATGATACATTTGTGATGAGACTATGCTTTGGATACAAATATTATTGGTAATATATTGAAGGAACTGGTGGCATTCCTTGTAAACTGTGTGGCTATGTAAAGTCTCATACATTATATCATTACATTATGGAATGTAACTGTTTATCATAATTTAGGGGAGATGGTATTACTGATATTTCAGAGATGGTTTGTTATTTAATAAACAAAAATATGGTTAAGAATATTATGAAAAAATTCTGTAAGTTTAACATACGATTGTAGATTTTATGCATATTTATTTGTTGTATACATATCTGATTTATGATTACGTACAATATTAAAGAGCTCTTGTTAAGATTAGTTTTGGGCGGGCTAATTAGCATGCTAACCAGCACCTTTTGATGCATTTGTCAATAATGTAAATGATTTGAATTTGAATTTCATAGTTTTCTACAGTCCACAGGTTATGCTAACAAGATTAATGAGAATCTAAAATACAAAACTGATAATAATTTTAACATGCTCATCAGATTCTCTGAGGTCTGCAGATCAAGGAAATACATCTCCAGTTTTGAACTGTTATCCCGTTATATATATATATATATATATATATATATATATATATATATATATATATATATATATATATATATATATATATATATATATATATATATATATATATATATATATATATATATATATATACACTGCATAAAGAGATTCTTATTTTCAAGTCATAGCAGATAGGGTTCCTAATAGGAGAAAGGGTTGGTGATGGTTCCAGACAGCAGGGGGGCAGGAGTGAGGTTCTCAAGTCAATTTTTTCCTCTCATTTCTTCATATCATCAATGTCACATTTCATTGACAATCTTACTGTATTTTTAATATAATCAAGTGCCACATTTGATATATTAATTTTACATATTACAGGGTTCTATGGCAATTTGAAAGAGAACAAAAAACATGATGTGGACCTTCCCCCCTCTGACTGACAAATGCAGGTAACGGAAAAAGTTTTCTCGGAAGTTCCAGAAATTGCCCATTACATCATCCCTCAAATTCGGAAAAATATCCCCCAATTGTGGAATCTCATATTTTGTCATAGTTAGAACTGTCCAGAGATAATGGCCATTCCCTGCATATATCCTGGTTGCTCCCACAGAGCCTCAATACAGGTGTACTGTACTGGCTTTGTCACCATGAAAGATCCACATTCTTCAAATTTACGACCCTCCCCCACCCCTGAATTGCTCCTGCACTGCCACATAAGGTAGCAAGGAAAATTAAATATTATACACCAGAGGGAGTTCTAACATTCATGGATAATTTAAGTGATGAAGTGGAATTCATAGGAGAAATGGGCACAATGGTGAGGGCTGAAAGAGTGGAAAAAATATTAGAAAGAGAATGATGAAGACAGAAGTGAGACAGCTCTGTTAGAAGGCACGAGTGCTTAAGAAATATGAACCCTCACTAATTCGATATAGTGCCTCATCATAAGGGGTTAAGAGGCTCTTGGTATGACTGAGTAAAGAGGAGATGCTGCATCATAAGGGGTTATGAGGTTCTTGGCACAACTGGGTAAAGAGGTGTTGCAGCATAATAAGGGGTGATGAGGTTTTTGGCATGACTGGGTAAAGGGGTCCTTTGCAGCAACTGTGTTATTCGTGTCACAGAACCATCATAACCTATAACATCTAGCAGGTTCTGTCATGGATGTTTAATGTGTTGGTATCTCACAGGTCACTCAACAAAGGATTGTAGGCCACAAAAAAAGTTATTTCACATAATTTATATAAATTTACAGGTAATGAGTGACAGCTTCTTTGCCTTTGTACGAACTATTGACTGTAAACTACAATTTTCATGGAGGTTTTGCAAAGTTTTCCCAAAGAGATTATTAACCAAATTTGGGGGTAATATATCATAATGAATACCAAATTCCACAAGCAGAAGAAGAATAAGCAACCTTGTTGTTGCAAAACTCAAATTACTTGTCGGTAATGTAACATTATCAGTGAGGATTTTTGTAGATGAAAAATTAAGTTCAAGCTTGTCTTCACTGTCAATAGTCACCTGAGACCCATCTGGTCCATCTTGAGAAACAGCAGCCTGGGAAACTTCGAGATAATGTAAACTATTAATCAAAACTGCAACCTTTTCATCAATTTTTCCTAATAACAATGTAATATCAAAAACTGTACATTTCTGGCAAAGTTCCACAAGTCTATCATGGTCCAATGGCCATGTTATTTTTGGATCAACAACACAGTTGAGAAATTCTTCCTCAATTACTCCAGCTACTTGTTCTTCACTTGGGTGGTGGTCAGCTAATCCAATGGGAAGGTCGATCTCGGAATTTAGAGGTGAAGTAGAAGCTTCTTGTGCATCTTCATCACTTTCCCAGCCACCTCCAGCCCGACCTGCTCTGTGTGCTGAAAACATTTGTATCATAAATATCTAGTGGGTCTTTATATAATAGTAATTTATTTAAATTGTGAAGCTTTTTTTGTTCATAAATGTAATTAAAAAAAATATTAGCACTGTATGTTTAACAGTTTTAACACTTATGTAAGATCAGTGTGTTGTTTGGCATTACCCTGTAAATGCTGTCAGCTGCCATGCACCACATGGTCAATAGCAGGTAATGTTCCCAATGCTAGAACATGCTGGCAGAGTCCACTAGTTATACCAAACAAAAATGCACCCATTACTGGGAATATCTGGCATTAAGAGGGTTTACTGTACCTTTATACTTGGTTGGATGAGATGTGGACAAAACTGGTATGTGAAGATGTGAGCTTGACTGTGGTAAACAGGGTACTGATGAGCCAATAGATGGTAGAGAGAGTGGTTGGTAGTCTCCTTTTTCACCTTGGAGGAAGTCCAAACCCAATTTCTTGGTGTCTCCAGAGGGAGACATAACGCGCTCCACAATTCCACGTACCTTGCAAAAATAATTACAATGAGCTGATGTAGTGCTAAAATAAATATACTGTAGGTATTAACTTTACAGCAATGTTTGAGAGTTATTTTGAAAATCAATGAATACAGAAGGTTGAGGCAAGAAAACCTGTATTTTAGCCTAGGGAACAAAAGTAGTGTCTTGTAAGATATACCACCATCAGGTGCTCATGATCAGGATCTGGGAAACATAAGGCAGCATGTAAAGTCTAGTAGGTGGGTGATGCTATTAAATGGACAATGTTTTGTCGAGTGATAACACTTAGCTGCTTTCTCACACAGTAAAATCTAGATTCAGTGATTGTCTAAGAGGCTACCGAGGCTTTAGCTAATTTGGATATCATGTCCCAACCTTCTGAACCTCTGAGAATCTTCTAAACCTCACAGGTCCATCCACACCTGTAGTACACAGAGGCCCTTCTGAACCTCATAGATCTGTACCAGACTCTACATATGGGAAAAGCAAATATGAATTTTGGACTAGTAAATAGGTCACTTGGGTCATCAAACAAAATTAAAATATCTGGAAACATTATATTTACCAAAGGTAGAGTACACACTAAAATCAAGGACTGCAACGTAACTAGCAAATCCTCAATAAGTGTCCTAAATTTCAATAAAGCAATTAGGTGCCCAAAACAAGAAAATAATTCTGATGGGCATGAAGTGTGATTGGGAACTGAATGGTAATTGAAACTAGACTCTGTTTTGTAGCCTGGTACTGTGGAAGAATTGGTAAAGATCCTATCCCTAAACTATTTCCATGCTAACTTGGCCCATATGGTATGCCCCTTTTCTATAAAAATAGCTGATTGGTTCATAGAAAATGTTCGTATAGCTGTCCATTTATTCAAACTAAAATAATGTTAAATATCTGGAACATCATATTGCAAATGATTTAAAGGCATGAGCACTTCAGAGAGGGTGTTAGAAATTTTTAAATATTTATCATAAAAGGTCAAAGTCAAAGATGAAATTCACTTTTGAATGAAGCCTTTTCATTATTTCTTTGTTTTGTACCAAACATAAAGCAAACAGAAACAAATGACACTAATCTTATAGCACAATAGGCAATGAACTAAAGTTTGTATTGCTGGATATATCCCAAATAATTTAGAAATTGATAAAACTCGATATAAATACGTGCAGTCCAGGGGAGGTGAAATGCTCAGGGGAACAGCCACTGAACTTGGCAGCCACATCGACGGGTGATCAGCTGGACACTTGAATTGTACTGCCAGTACTGTAGAGCTCGCATTAGAATACTATACGGTAGGGTCGGGATATATCGCGAGATAGAGTCCAAAGTTGTTCGCTATATACTAAATCACGATATATAATTACATGTAGTCAATGGGGAAAATAGGGTTAGGTTCTGGAGGCCAAAAAAAGTGACTAAACTTGACTTAACGAGTTCATTTTCATACTAACTAAAGCACCAATGAACACTAGACTCAGGAACAACAGACTATTTCAATATCAATAACAAGGAACACCAGACTCGGCAGCTGACGCCACACTGCCACCCTCACTTGACAATCCCACACCTACATAAATGAACACCCAAAATATTAGTTACGGTATTAAATAATTTCCATTAAGCATTCCATTATCTTCACTTCACGTCACCAGCAACCCATTTACACTCACTTTAGAAGTCGTAATCTGCAGCAGAGTCGAATGCTTTCTCGTCACTCACTCGGAAAGACTGAGCAGGCGAGTGTGAATGTGTGAGTGAGCAGCCGCGGTGGCGCCTCTGGTGAGCAAACAATACATTTGTTTGCTATGGAGGTACATTTGAAATATTTCCTGCCAGATTTCCCTTGCGAAATAAAACAAAATTATCGCTATACAGTGATCCCTCGGTTAACAAAATTTTGGTTAACGAATTACCTTCCATAAGAATATTCAATTCGGTCAACGAAATTCTTACTTGCTTGGTGCCAATGATTCAGGGGATTTCCGACTGAAGCCCATGCTTGTCTACCACTCTTGAGAACCCCAGGGTGTTCAAACAACAAAAGGTGGTAAGAGTACAACTTGGAGTTTATTGGAAGTCCAACTGTAAGGCATGGGTGACAAGACAGCTGTTTAATGAATGGGCTGTTGAGGTGTTTTGCCCTTCTGTGAAGAGCTACCTAACCACCAATAAACTCCCTTTAAAGGCTCTTCTCCTTATGGATAATGCCCCTGGTCATGACCCTGAACTTGCCAGCACTTTAGAGGCTCGATTTGACTTTGTCAAGTGTTGTTTTTGCCTCCCAATACTACATCAATTATACAGCCAATGGACCAGAATGTGATCAGCAACTTCAAGAAGCTGTACATGAAGAAAATTTTCAGGTGTTATCAGGCAACATCCACTGGTCCTGAACTAACACTGGCACAGTTCTGGAAGACACAATTCAACATCCTGGAGACTGTAAAATTGATTGTGTCATCATGGCAAGAAGTCTCCATTAGATCCCTCAATTCTGCATGGAAAGCACTGTGGACATCAGCAGTCCATGATTTTGATAGATTTGAGGAAGAAGTGGAGTTGGACAAGGAGATTGTGTCCATTGGTCAGTCAATGGGCATCGAAGTGGAGGAGGATGATGTGGAAGAGCTTGTGATGTCTCATGAGCAGGAACTTACTCCTAAAGACTTGCAGCAACTGGATGAGATGTTAGAAGCTGACAGTGGTGAGGAGGAAAGGGAAAGTGATGACCATATGTCTTCTTCAGACTTAAAGATGTTGTTCACCACTGGGAGATGTTCAGGAAACTGGCTTCAAGGCACCCTGATGTGGAAACAACAGAACCTATTTTGTGTAATGTTGAGGACAGAGTGGTCTACACACACACACACACACATATATACAGTACAATGCAGATAAAGGAAATTACTGTCTCTAGAACAAATGGCTCCCTGTCCCAGCCATGAAAATGCCGGCAACTTTAAAACTGCCCCACGGACATTCTTGGGTACATCCAGAGTGCCATTCGCGAATAATAGAGGACTGCGAAATAAAAATCCGCGAATTTGGGGGGCCCCCTGTAAAGTATATTATTTACACAAACTGTTATTAATTCATTCATCACTGTCTGAATCACTACTGTCATCGTCAATGCCTATAATAAAACTTTTTCTAAGAGGGTCAAACGCTTTAGCTTTCCTACTATATTCATCTGTTGATAGTTGACGTCTGCTGGCTCTTGTGAGTTGAAATGAGCAAAATTTCCGCCAAGTCCATCGGCTGTTCCCATGAGGATTTTACTTCCCCCTGGACTGCGCATATTTATATCGGATTTTATCAATTATAATGTTATTTAAATGACTTGGGATATACTGTATACAGATTTACAGCTGTAGTTCATTACCTATTGTGCAATATGTTTGGTGTCATTTGTTTGTTTGCTTTATGTTTGGTACAAAACAAATAATTATTGAAAAATGAATTTCATCTTTGACTTCAACCATTTATGATAAATATTTAACATATTCTAACATCCTCTCTGAAGTGCTAATGCCTTGATATCATTTGCATTTTGTTATTCCAGATATTTAACATTATTTTAGAGAATAACAGGTCTGCTTACCAATTGTGAACACATTTAGTTTGAATAAATGAACAGTTACACAAACATTTTCTATGAACCAATCAGCTATTTGTAGTTATAGACAGGGCATGACTTACAGGTCAGGTTACCATGGAAATACTATAATTTTCAAAACCTAATTGGATCTTTGGTGTACTGTATAGCCTAGTCACAAATTGAAAGGGTCCTCAGAGCTCTAGGGTCCTAGCCCACAAGCTTGTCAATGTAGTACTGTACAGTAAATAAGGTTCCTGATTATTAATATGGCATGAACCACAAATAATGTCCACAATAAAATTGCCACATTCATATGAATGTGATCAACAATTGTCTTTATTGTACTTTCCAAAGAAAATGTGGTCATAATTAACCAAGTTCAACAAGATACCTAACTGGTATTAGGACTTAATCTACAGTTTATTCTATAGTGTACACTCTTCATTTTACTAACCTGATTTACCAGATTGTCACCTTGATTAATTGGTGAGCTGCCAAACCCTTCATATTTTCCTTTTGAAGCCTGTGACCCATACCCTTGAGAAAAGGATGACTGCTGACTGCTTTTGGTAGTTTCTTCACCATTCTCTTTACCTGGAAGATAATATTCATGCACAGTCTGACTTGTAAAAAAATAAAAATACAGCACATAACTGTTTATCTAATAATCTAAATATGGGGCTTGCAATTCAGAACTTGGTAAAGAACAACAGCTGTGGCTACTGTATTATACACTATTATGAAAGCTAGTGAGTACAGATTTACGAGAGGAATCAACAGGTGCGAAGTGCATGAGTATAGCAATCAGATATAGGGTAGGGGTAGAAAGTACAGTATACAGTACAGTATTTTCTCGATTTAACAGACTAATTCGAGCCACCCCCGTTCGTTAAATCAAAATTTCCGCTAAATCGATCTTTCTGTTATGTTCGTTCGCTTTACTGAACTATTTCACTAAATTGAGTAAAGTTATTCTGTGCGTTCAAAGTGTTAGTCATTATGATAATCACTTTCACCATGCTGTGAGTCACTTTCATTGTCGACAGGTGAGTCATCATAGTCTCTAAAAAGATCTGTTCAACACTGATCCCACTTCTTTCCGAAACGAAATTGTCACTTTTGATTATGTTGATATCCCAGTGGTGAGGAAGGGTCAGGGAGAGGGATTTGAGGAATGGCCAAGGAGGACCGCTGCTCAGCAGGAGCAGCACCAGCACCTGAATAGGTCTTGACCCTTCTGTATTACGTGTGTGGGAACAGCCTGGGACTGGGAGCAGCGTTTCATCACAGCTTGTGCTAGTGACAAGATTGCCAAATAGCAATGCTCCCGGTACAGTATATATATTATTATTATGTACAAAGAATAGCTTCTTCAACACGCAAACCATCCTTTGGGCGATGTGTCACGTTCAACTACTTAGTCTGACAATCACCAAATATGGGAAGAACCTCTAACCTCCAAATATTGTGAGTTATTGCACATCACTTTAGTCAGTGCATAGTGGTAAATGGTGTAAAAAATTTTACATCGTAAAACTGAATGAGAGTATATTTATCTATCGTATAGCAGTCTTTGCCTGTATTGAATAGGGCTGTTAAAATGTCAATTATGGATAAGCAGGGTTGTGAATAGCGAGGTAGTCCTGTACATTCATAGGACTGAAAAGCTTAAGACCTACCGTACTTCTTTTACTCAGATCCCCTCTTTTACTCATACTCACTGCTTGTTATTTAGACTTACTCACTTGTTTCAATCATACTCACCTTTCTTATTCTGATCCCCTATTTGACCCAACTATTTTATTCAGACCTGCCTTTTTTACCAAGTAATATCCTTACCTGCCATCCATATTTCATCTTCCTTCATGGTTCTAGGGTCAAATAGTAGTGTCAGCAGCTCCTAGAAATAATGAACAACATGAACTACTGTAGTAAGTATACAGTAGAGTACTGTATTTAAAAAAAAAAAAAAAAAAAAAATTTACATCATCCTTTCAACATAAATGTGTTGTAAAATCATATATCTCATTTTATGACAGAAAGAAGTGAATGACTTTTTATTCAAAACACACTGATCCTGTGTGGCAGCTGCTTTGTCACATTTGGACATCTCAATTAATAAAAGTCCTCCTGAGTTACATGAGTCTGACTAAAGCATCTGCACATATACCAACACTCACTTGCCTCCATTACCAGAAAATAGCAGATTCCATGAATGACTTAAATCTTACAAAAGTCATTAAGGAAAAGGGAGGGGGTGAAACGAGAGACTCCATGAATTATGCAGAATGTATCTCAACTGAGAAAATTAGTTAATTATATAATTTTATAAATTTACAGGTTTTTTAATGTACAGTAACAAAATATTCTAAGTGTTACATAAGAAACTTTGGGAATCTCCTCCTAACATACTTGGAGGTGAGGGTTCTTACAGCCAATCTAATTCCTGTTGCTAAAACAGTGGAAGAGAGCTTACTATTCGGGAGAGCTACATATAAAGAGAAGCCCCTGAGGGAATTGATTGACTGATTGATTGCGGTACTGGTAATTACATCCCTGGTGATGTGATTATTTTTTTTATGGGATTAGCCCACCTGGGCACAGGTCACTGACCCACATCAGGGCCTAGGGGGTGAAATTATAATTAATAATACAGGTTGTACCTCTCTAGTCCGGCAACCTCGGGACCTGACCGGTGCCGGACCATGGAAATTCACCCTTTTCCTGGATAGATAGTGACTTGTGCTTATGCTTGGAAGCACTAGCACCACTTTCTCTGCATCATGGTCTCTTTGAAGACATATTGAAGGGTTAAATGTCGTATAGTAGCTTCTCAAATTTCGCGAGTTTTTAATTCTTAACGTATTTTATTGGAACACAAAAAATTAATAAATAAAAATTTTGACGGCGGAAACTTGAATTTCGACGGGTTTGAACTGCCCGCCAACGTGCAGACAACGTGCATAATCGTGTAAACAGCATCATTTCTCTTATGTACAAAAGATTCATTATTGTTTATTACTGAATGTCTTTTTTATTGAATTAATGTTTATGTGTGCAAAATGAGCAATACAATTCATTAATAATACGTAGAATATTAAAACACGAGGAAATGAGACAGCATTGTTTTCGTTGATTACAAAACCAGTGACTGACTGGTTCTACATATAAAACTGAAGAAAATAAGACCTTGGTTGTAGCTGTAGTAAAACTAATATGGTTGTTTTAAGTAATGTTATTTAATGTTAATAAATGGAACAATAGAAGTAGCTAACGATAATGGTAAAGAAAAAAGAGATCGCGTATGTAAGTGCGCATGCGCACGTGAAAACATATCGTCATTACTTTACATAAGAATATGAAAGCAACACTTATTTACTGTTCATATATATTTTAATTAATGTTTCTGAATTTGTTTTTATTGAATTAATGTTTGTGTGTGCAAAATTAACAATACAATTTATTAATAATACGTCGAATATTAGAGGAGACGAGACGGCTGCCGGCATTGTTTATGTTAAAGCTTACGAAACCAGCGACTGATTGGTTCTACATATAAAACTGAAGAAAATAAGACCCTGATTTTTAGCTGTAGTAAAATTAATGTAAAAAAATTAATATGGCTGTTTGAAGTACCTGTAATGTTATTTAATGTTAATAAATGGAACAATATAAGTAGCTAACTATTAATGGTTAAAAAAAAGTGAGACTGCGCGTATGTAAGTGTGCACATGTGAAAACATATCGTCATTACTCTACATAAGAATATGAAAGCAACACTTATTTACTGCTCATATATATATTGAAGGGTTAAATGTTGTACTCTGTATAGACAAGCAGAGAGAGAGAGAGAGAGAGCAGCCGAACTGCCGGATGTAAACAAACCTTAATTTCCCGCGGCTTTGTTTTATTTTTTTTGTTTTTTAAGGGGATTAGCCCACCCGGGCATAGGTCACTGACCCACATTGGGGCCTGAGGGGCAAAAATTTAATACTCCTGTAATAATAATTCAGATAAGTAAAAAAAAAAAAAAAAAAAGCTGCCTATCTACCTATTGGACAAACTAAAATCGTTCCGGACCACAGAATGCCGGACTAGAGAGGTACAACCTGTAATAATAATAATAATAATTAATAATTAATAAAAATTAATAAAAAATATAATAATAAAATATTAATAATAATAACCATAAAGAAATACAAAAACAAAAAAATGTATCAAAGAGTGAGAAACGATGTACAATATGTATGTTGTGTTGCCAAGATTAGAGAAACAATTGAGACTGCAATTGTGTGTAAATGAGGCTGAAAGTCGGATCAGCAACCTGGCACTTCGTCACAATTTTTGTAATGCCATATGGCAGCAGGGTCTACCATCATACAACACAATATGCTTGCTTCTAATATCTTCCTAGGCGGTAGTACCTCCCTGTTTGATAACTGCCTACTACCTACTTAGGTCATATATTGCTAAAGTAAAATAAAAGCTTAAAAGACTAAAATCAAATAATACAAGGTAAAAAAACATCAATAATAAGTAGCTTAAAACTTTTGCAAAAAACATTTAAACGTTAATACAGCGGTCCCTTAGTTAACGAACACAATTCTTTCCAGAAGGTCATTCGTAAACCGAATATTTTGTTAACCGAAAACATTGTTTCAATGGGATTTTGGGTAATTGGTTCCAGCTCACCGAAAAGTACATGCAAAGTAAAAAAAAAAAAAAAATGCAGTAAAGTACACTTACTTTGAGGTGTGTATGTAGAAGGCTCCTGGTTGATGATGATGATGATGGGAATTAGAAGTGGGGGTGGAGGAGAAGGGAAGGAAGTGGGGTTGAAAGAGAAATCACCCCATGCTTGATGCCGTCATTTCACCCATAAAATTTTAAGTTCACTTGGTGTAATTCAAGATTATTTTCTTTAAATCAACACTGCACTGCACTATATACAGTATTGTCAATATGTTAAATAAATTTCAGAATGACCAATAATTGTACTGTAAAAACATAAAAATACTCTGTGTTCAAGAGACCCACAAGCAAGATGTTTCCTCCACTGAACAGAGTCACCAACTGAGGCGTTGGTGGATGAGTGAAGAGGCTGATGGGTGCACAAAAAACTAGTTCCCTGTACTGCAATTATGTTAAATAAGTATTAAAATGACTAAAAATTTTAATATAAAACTTGGAAAATTATTGAATAGTACAACCTTCTTGATATTTACTCCAATTTTAACAAATGTAAGCCCTAAAACCGATTTCTGTATTGGCGGACTAATCTTCCAGCTGGTGAGCAAGCCAAAGCATGTCAAAAAATTTTCATAAGAATTTCGTTAACCGAATTTTTGTTCGTTAACCGAAATGAAGATTCTTATGGAAGGAAATTCGTTAACCGAAATTTCGTTAACTGAGGGACCACTGTAGTTATAAAACTCAAAGCTTGTGAAGAAAGCCGGCTTCCTCACGAAGGAGAGGACATCCCCTCCCACACTACCCACTCCCTTCCCCAGCTCCTAAGAGACACATTAAGACCGGTTATCCCCCCCCTCCCCCATCACTGGGAGAGGTGCTTACAACGAAGATCTCTAAGATAGGGACACTCCACCAGCAGGTGTCCAACAGTCAATGGCAGTCATCACAATGGGGAGGGGGCACTTTCTCCATTAAAAAAAACAAAAAAAAACATGAGTCAGTCGAGTGTGGCCAATGTGGAGGCGGGTCAAAGCAGTCACTTGGGGGTGCGACAGTACCTGATGTCCCCAGGCACCCAAAGCAGGGTGGACGTCGCAGAGCTTGCTTACTTCGACAGCATCCCGCCTGCATTTCCAACTCACGTGGATGGCAACTCTTATTACTGGCCTCATATCAGAGGCATGTAGAGGGAAATGATGTGCCACAGGCAAGAAGCAGCTGCTTTTGCCACAGCATTAGCATGCTCATTCCCTTTTAACCCCACATGGGCCAGAACTCAGGAAAACTGACTTACCTGCCCCGACTTTGGATGAGAAACCCCCACTGTAAAATAGCTATAACTAAGGGATGGGGCGATGAGACACTAGCTAAGGCCTAGAGAGCACTGTGAGAATCGCTGAAAATTGTAAAATTGCTAGGAGGTTGAGAAAAATTAATCTTGAGGGCAAGTAAAATACCTGAAAGCTCTGCCATGAAAATAAATGCCATAATGGGGAGACTACCATCCCGAGAGAAGTCGGGAAAGACTACCTCAAAACCCACCCCCTGCATCCGACTTAGAGCAGTCGGTGTAAGCAGGGATAGTCCATCTGTGAGAGGAGACATGCTCTAAAAATAAAGAAAATGAACCACACAAGTCTCAGGGAAGGAGTACCTCCTTCCTTTCATTAAAATACTGACAAACTGCCAGAGTAATTGTCAGGGAAGTCACCTTGGAAATGCAAACTTTATAAAAATAAATTTTAAATCTAAGAAGCAAGATTCAGGCAATTTTGATTTACCCATATGATATACCATACAATGTTTATCAGGACAGTGTAACCCATCATGAGACCCCTAACTCTAGCAGGAGTGTTCTAGTTAGGGATATCTTGCAGGTCATTCACCTCTTCCTCACAAAAACATGATGGGATGTCATGCTTCAATCCTCCATTTTTAGTACAGTACAGAAAGAACCGAATACAGAATATCACACACCTGTATAGCTGAACTTAGGAAGAGTTGTGGGGTGTTGGCCAACACAGGGTCTGGTGGACCACCTGATGCTGTTACTCTGCGAAGTTCCCCATCCTTACCCCGTAAGTAAACCCGAACACCACGATGCCCTCTAGAACACACATGTTGGAGAATGCGCACTATCTGAAAAAAACAATAATAATTAATATGACTTAAATAAAAAACAAAGGGTCCGTTGATTTGATTTATAAAATTTTTTGGGGTTCAGTATTTTAAAGAAAATCTAAAAATAGTGGCACTACCACTAATTGGGTCAAAATGTAGTGGCACTACTGATACAGCTAATCATTTTAATTGGAATAATAATTCTTCTATATATAATACCAATTGGCATCAATGCACAAATTTGTAAAACACATTCAGGAGCTAAGTTGTTCCTTACAGTAAGTGAGACACTCAAATATTATATGCAATATTTACTTAAAATAAAATTACTGTGATTACATGTCTGTGGCTTCCAATGAAATTAAATATTATTTACTGGTTATTTAAAAAAATGTGTAACTATAAAAACACAAGTGTTTTTATTTAACTGACAAATCCTAAACTATACAAATATTGTACTTCAGTACGTGGTTCCATTGTTACATTAACTGTACGTGGCTTCCTATAGACTCAAATATTCTTGACTAGTTGTCTAAAAAAAAATATATATAAATTTTTAACTACAGTACACAAACAACATTCACATAATAAACAAATGTTCCTGATGGGTTAAAGAATGGCCACACATTAGTTTTTGTTTTTTACGGGCATTAGCCCACCCGGGCACAGGTCATTTTATGATCCACATCAAGGCCTGGAAAAATATAATAAAATAATAAAATTAATAACATTTAATATAAATTATAATTATAATAATAATAGTAATAATAAAGGGCCATAAATAATACAAAAATTATAAAATATATCAATAGTGAGAAATGATATACAGTCGACCCTTGTTAAAACTGACTAATGGAGGGGAAGGGTGTCCGCTTCAGCCGATTGTCCGAATTAACCGATTTAGGGGTTAAAATTGCATTATATTGCATTATATTTCAAAGAAAATGCAGTGAGTTTGTCCTTAGCCTTGCATATGTCCGAAACTGTTTGCTTTTTAACACCATACTCGTCACAAACTCTAGCCACCGAAGCACCAGCCTCTAACTTCCTTATAAGTTCCAGTTTCTGGTTCACAGAAAGGTTCACATGCTTCCTCTTTGGCGTATTACTCCCCCTTGAAGACATGATGTAAAATACAAGGCTGAAAGATGCCTTAATCACTGAAATATCAACAAAAATTGCAGGGCAACACAAAACCGATACTCGAATATGGAGCTAAGTCAACAATGACTGGCGGTCTGGCATTCGCCATCTATCGGACAATCCCAGAACCAGAAATTTGACATGGACAGTCCCTCGCTTAATTCAGATTTCGTCCGATTTATCCGATATCCGGATTAAAGGGGTCCGTTTTAACGAGGGTTGACTGTACAGTCAGTTCTGCTATAACGCGATAGTTGTGTTCTTGTAAAACATCGTGTTATAGAAATTCGCGTAATAGAAATAACAAGGCTTATGGAGAAAATAGGGTTAGGTGCAGATTACTACTCGAAATCGAAAAAAATTTAGAGTTAGCCTAACACAAAGGTTAGCACAGTCTAAATAAATGTTACATTCATATCTAATAATGAAATTATACAGTAAATGTAACACTTTACCTTGAAAAAATATGAATATAACTTGATGGGGGAGAAGGGTGATTTTGAGGTTGATAATATCGAGCTTCTCTTCAAGGGTTACAGCCTTTCTTTTACGATCATCACCGGGAATGCGATCACCAGAAAGCTTCTTGGAGATATTCTTCTTTACCATATTCACAGTTAATACCACAAAATTGGAGAAAATAGTCAGCAAAAATCGCGTTACAGCAAACAAGCGTTCGCGTTATACAAATATCGTTCCTCTATTCATAAATCGCGTTAGAGCCAATTCGCGTTGTCAAAACACACGTTATAGCAGAACTCACTGTACGGGATATGTATGTTGTGTTGTCAATAGTATGAGAAACAATTGAGACCCTGCAATTGTGTGTAAATGAGGCAGAAAGTCAGATCAGCAACCTGGGACTTGGTCACAATTTTCGTGATGCCATACGGCAGCAGGGTCTACCATTAGACAACACATTATTCTTCCAATATCTTCCCAGGCAGCAGTACCTCCCTGTTTGATAGCCTACTACTTACTACCTGCAGGGGTCATGTCTGACCAGATGCTGACAGCCCAGCAGAGTCAGAACTTGGTATCACATTCCATTTGCTTTTCAACATGAACATAATTAGTATGACCACAGTCTGTACTTGTCTAATACAGTATAGGTACTGTAGTAGCCAAGTTATGAATGGGTCATGTTCCTGGACCCTGTTCATAAGTTGATGTGTATGTAAGTCAGAATAGTTTTAATTCCATAGGTTAGTTTAAAACACATCCCTGCCCATACATACAAAACAACAATACCGTGAACTCTCAAAGATCCAGACTAAAAGGGGGGGACCACCTGTCAGAAAAAGTAGACTGTCTGTGTCTTCAAACGAATGTACTAAATGTATAAAAACGTTAAATAATGATATAAAATATAACACCAAAAATAGTGTAAAGGGGAAGGGGGGGGGGGAGATTTATTAGTTTTCATTTTCTTTTGTACTACGTATTTTCTTATTATATCTGTGTAAGAAGAGATATCTTTCCTTTTGTATATATATTAATTTGAATATTTTCTATTTCTCTTTTCTTTTATCATATATTACTTCTATCTCAGTTTCTTAACTTATATTTTCTAAGTTAGTATATTTTTCTAAGTCTCTTTATTTCTGTATACTTATTCCTTTATTTTCTTTTCTTTCTTATTGTTTATTTCTTTCAAAGTCATTATTTATTTCTTATAACTTCCTCTTATTTTTTCTCAAGTATGTATCAGTGTTTAGTTATATTTTATACAATGGATTAACCTGGGAAAACCATATCATTCTTTAACATCTCTTGAAAATAATCATTATACTCACAAGGTGTAGACTGTCACCACCCAGGCTTTTATTAGAATACTAGAATACAGGTACACCACCAATTTTCCGGGAACTGATGGTACGGCACCTCCTTTAGTCCGGACAAAATTAAGAGAGGGCACTTAACTTACTCCCTTCCCTCCCTCCCAGCCTGGTTGAAGGTAGTTTTAGGTTTAAAGTTTTTATCTTATAAAATGTAGCTGACTAGACCTAGCAGAATATAAATTTCATTGCTGGACTCCTTTTAATATAGTGATTAATTTGTAATATAGTAACAAGTAAAAAAACAATAATAATAAAAAATGATGATCTGACCTTTTGCTTACCGGGCCAAGATACACTTTGGAGGCGAGTCAGGAGAAAGTCAACAAGAAGTTGTCGGTGTCCAGGAGAATGGTGACTCAGTTCAAAAACATGTTAAGGAAGATCTATTGCAGTAAGATTTTCAGTTTAAGAACCTTTAGATATTAACTACAGTCACAGAATAAGTGTAACATATACTGTACAGTAGATCCCACTCAAGGCTACTGCATCAGAATAAAAAATTACTGAAAATCCAACCTTAAATGTATAAAAGGGTATCAACATATCCTTTCAAAGCAAATCAGGCAGGGTTGAGAGTATCCTTGCACAACAGGAATTGAAGTGAATTGGCAGAATTCCTATATGGTTAGTTATGGTTATGGAATGGATGAGTCATTAGGGCCTTGACTTATGATCCATATTCCCAACTAGTTTTCAAGAACTATTTGAGCACATTTTTTATCCAGCTATGAATGTTGGTTAAGTGTTCACCAATATAAAGAGGTTGTTTTTAACAAGCAAATTCCTGCTGTACAATAATGCATTCCAGTACCTGTTGTGCACTAACAGGCTCTACCCAGCTAGTTTTCCCATGATATTGTCATTCATGAGTCTCACCAAGAAACAGTTGAGAAAAATACTTATCCTATAATACAACCTGTTATATGGAAACAAAATGTTCTCTGAATCAAATAATGTTTCAAGCCCTTTTCTAAAAATATAATTTTCAAATATATTATACAGCGCAAAAAAATTAATACTTCCAAAAGGATACTGATGATCTCTTCAAAGAGGTACCCAGGTAGTGGAGTGTCATTGTCTACTGTTGCTTTATTCAGAAGAGGATACTGTAAAACAAGAAAGATTTATCATTAGGATTACAGAAATCATTTGCACCTGTTAAATCAATTGTTACAACTAAACCAGATAAAAGTAATGGAATGGTGATATTTAACAAAAACGATTACATCAAAAAAGTGCACGAGGTACTTAACGATCGTACTAAGTTTGTAAATATCAAAGAGAAGGTTTTTCCATGAATTATTGAATATGAATGTAAAGTCAACAATTTCTTGAGAAAACTTAAGGCCGAGAAGGCAATCAATGAACACACATATTTAAAACTAAAACTATTCGTGTCTAGGGCTCGGCCAGGCATAATGTACGGAAGACCAAAGGTACACAAAGATGGTTGCCCAGCCCACCCAATACTCTTTGGCATTGGGACATTTTTTTACAGGGAATAGCCCACCTGAGCACAGGTCATCGACTCACACTGAGGCCTGGGTGGGAAAAAATAGAGAAGAAAGAAAAAATTAGAAGAGAAAAAGAGTACAGTAGAACCTCAATAAATCGGACTAATTGGGGCAGACCCCAGTCCGAAAAATCCGAATATAGGGGGAGGGGGGGGGTGGAGATAACACTGCTTATCTGAACTTTTTAAAGAAAATCAATTGATGTTATGTTATTACTGCACCTCAACAACTATGGTCTTTAAGTGTATAATAAGGTTATTAAAAGAATATTACATCAACAATAAAAAAAAAATATGAAACAGAACTCTCTGGGTTGAAAATCAGACATGTAAGTCTGGTTGTCACCGAGATGATTATTGTTTACTGTAAAGTGTTACATATAAGCAACCACAGAATATGTCTTATGAATGAAGAGAAAACTGTATACGTACTGTACAGTACTATAAAGATAAAACTAAGAACAAATAAGTGTAGGAGTATATTGTATGGGAAGACGAGTGTTTATTTGGGAGCAGAGGGGAGGGGAGGTAGCATGGGTGGGTAGCTCCCTCCCCCTAACTCCCACAAAAGAACAAATGCCAGTATTCTCGCTGACACCAACTGTAGGAGCATCGAGGCTACCATTATCCATGAACAACTACATTGGACTGGCCATGTTACCCGCATGGACGAAAGTAGACTGCCAAAGCAGCTACTTTACAGTCACCTAACGAATAGTAAATGTAAAGCCGACAAACCTGAAAAAGTGCCAAATCGACCCCCTCACCTGGGAGTTAATTACTCTACATCATAACACTTGGAAGAGCACCGCACGAGAAGGTGTCAATGCGTTTGAGTTAGCCAGACTGCAAACTGAGGCAGACAAGCGCCAACACTGGAAAGACGCTGCCACCGCCCCTCCCGCAGTCGATGGAGCCCTCCACGTGTGCAACAAATGTGAACGACGCTGTGGGTCCCATATCAGCCTCTTTAGTCACCTCAAAACTCACCAACCGAGGTGACATCCCTAATAACTCATATCATTATATCATAGCTGGATGATCGTCATACTCGATTCTGAGTGATAGCAAAGTAGAGTGTGTGTGTAATAATAATAATTAACGGTTTATTGAAAAAATTCTGCAGCCCGAAGGCTGAAAATATACATTGGACATAAATGACTTATTACATACATTAGTAGTTTAACAAAAGCCTTCATTAGAGAAAGGTAAAGGAACATACAGTGAACATACAGATTAATGTAGGTGTTGAACAGCAAACTCGTAGTGTAGTAACTTATGTGTCAGGTGTTTTAGGAGAATGATGGCACATTGAAGGCTATTTGCAGACTTAATAATATTGCATGATAATAATGAGTAAACTAGCAAAATAATTAAGCATACAGTACTGGTAGTAAATAAAAAAAAATATTCCAGCATATTTTCATTATTAGTACTGTACTATTTTCTCTCAGAGTTTTTGTTTGTAAATCAATGTGGGTTTTTTTTTATATAACTTCAAATTTTTGTAAATCAAATACTTATAAGTGCAAGTGAAATCTTTGTGACCCACAGGTCCTACAAAAATATTAATCCATATTATTAAGGTACTTACATGCAGCAGTATAGTACATGTACAATAATGTCATCCAAACACTCACATAAGTTGCAAAGTCAACAACACTTTTTGCTTCTTTCAACAACTCCATGTCTTCTTAAAGTCAGTAGTGCTGCACCTAATTTTGGTAATTAGCACCTTGTACAGTATAGGTACCGTACCGTGGCTTGAGTGTTGACTTATATCTTGATTTATCTACCGGGTATGCATTTATTGACTGTCTTCTGTGGGATTTTTCTGAAATAGATTTTTCAATATTAGTTATTATTGCAATACTGTACTGTACAGTCATACCCTGCATTATGGATACTCAGGTTGCAGAATTTGTAAAACATGACCAAAATTTCAGGATATGACCAAAAATTCAATCATAAGGATAAAGGATAAAATTTTCACACAAAGAAGCACTACCAAATGAAGAATTTTACCAAAATTACATTACAAATCTTTATTTTTTTTTTGTCTTATTACATTTGATACTTTGTTTGGCAATGTGTTTCATACTGATACTCATCCTGTCTGTTTAACCCCTTTGGTACTGACCCCCACCCAGATCCCAGATGACGTACCCCAGAAAGGTTGTGATTTTCTTCAGAGACCAAACTAAATAAAAAATATGGTGGTGGAGCATGATAATGGTGGAGGAACTTGATAACACTAGATGACATAAGAAAAACATCTAGCCCGTCATCTTCCCCTGGTTCTTCCTTCTCATGTTTGCAGAGTTGAATAGCTCCATCGCATTTGGTGTTACTTTGAAATCCCTGCAACATTTTCCTTGGAACTGGAGGTATGAGCGAACTCTAATAATTGCGTACAACATTTCAGAACCGAGCTGATTTCGTGATTTGGTTTTGACATTGGTTACCGTGGAAAATATTCTTTCAGCAGCAGCATTGCTCGTTGGTGTTGTGAGGCAAGCCATAGCATAGGTCCCTAATTCTTCTTTGCCTGTTGAATTCTTGTATTGCAACACCCCAGACCAGAAAGAGATAGAATCTGTGGGAATTTTGCCATAAAAAACCGACTCCTCCGCCCAAAACAAATGCATTATTCTTCTTTACTGCTGCTCAATGATATCTTCTTTTTTCACTTCGAAGGTGGAAGGTCTTTGAATGGCACGCGTTCAGTCTGGCTCAATACCTTGCGTGGAGCAAACATACTCGAGCCTTTGAAGATCCCCGTCGATGCTGAAAGCCTGCTTTCCTCTTGTTTTAAGGCTTCGATTGAAAGACCAGCACATCACTCTTTTACTTCATCTACCTTGCCAACTGCTTCAGCAGAGTGATTCCGTTGGTTTATGAAGGTGTACAACTCGTGCATGAATTTGGCACCATAGTCGACCATGTTTAGTGGCAGTGGTTTTCCATTCCTGTCAAGGATTCTATCTTGCAAACTCTTGTGGTGCTCACTTACCAGTTCTTTAGGATCAGCATCTGTTGTCTGAAAAAGAGAATGAACTCTTTCAAATTCTGTAACGATTGGTGACACATAGTGAAAGTACAACAAATTGACTGGATCCTCCAGCATACCCAGAGCTTCTCTTGCTTTGTAGAGACAGGAAGCATCTGCCCTTGGAACTGTAACAGCAAAGTAGGCTTTCAGTTCCTCCCAGTTTAAGAGGATATTGTAGATGACTTTTCCTCGAACTAGCCATCGTGTACATAAGAGTTTCTGAAAGGGAAGAGGAGTGCCCTTTCGTTCTTCCTTAGCATCCACTACCCTAAATAGTTCCCGTTTCCTTGGAGCGATCATCATAGGCAGCGCCCTACACATGGACGATGCAGCTACTCTGCTTGAGTGCCCTTTCGATTTTTTGTGATATGCCAAACGAGATGCTTTGGGAGCTAACTGTGTTTTACAAACCTTGCAATAAGCATTTTCACTTCCATCACTGGGTCTACTAACCCAAACGTATTTTTATTCTCATGATTTGTTATATTTTCTGCCACTGTCTTTGGTCCCTTTCCATTTACTAGTGGACATTTTGAAAACTAGCAGTCAAAATTTCAAAAAATAACTCGGATGGCTTTGTAATATCTGATGCTTAACCCGTGTAACTGGACACATTCAGCCTGAACAAGTCAATTATGAGAACTAACAACTAAGGTCAGTCAGCTCAGTAGGACACATAATCATGTGACTAGGTTAGGTCACTGATTAGGTGAGGGCCTGACAAGGTGAGGTCACTGAGCAAGTGTTGTGATTGTGAAATCTGAAAATTAGTTAGACTTGTCTTCAAAATCCACTAGATGAGGAATTAATACGTGTTTTACAAAATTCGGCAAAAAAAATTTGACCGTGACCTTCCATTTTTTCATGGCTAGGCAAAGTTTTTTACGGCCAAAGTAGAGAAATTTGGCCGTGGAACGAAACGGCCATCTGGGATGTGTGTGGAGCGCCACAGACATCCCCGCCTCCACACATGGGAAGGCATATCATACAATATTAATCTATCTTACACTCTTACAGGTTAGGTTAGGTTAGATGACTCGTTTTTGTGTTCTTCCCCACCCAATAACCCCGATTTCCTAGGCTCTCCCCCATTATCGTTAGAGGTTCAGGGTGGGGCAAGAACGAGCAATTTCCAACAAAAATGAAGGTCAGATTTGCTTAAAACACACCAAAATACACTGGAAAAACATATTGGTCAACCCCTAAAGACTCATGTCTTAAGGAAAGTAAAAAATTACCTTTTACTCAAAACTGACTGCCATTTTTGTGCAAATTAGCGGTTTCTGTTATAAATGAAAATGTTAATTTTTTATGCGAAAACCGCTAATTTGTACAATAAATGAAGGTCAGATTCGAGTAAAACACCATAAAACTATTATTGTATAATGATCCTCCCCATACTGGCCAGATATAATGTGAATAATATTGATGATGTGTTAAAGGAACATCATTCCAGTTCTTCCTGACTATTGTGGACTTGATCTCACCTTCCTCTACTGTATATATATTTGACTTGTTATGTATTTCTCCTTAGTCTGTACTCACCCCTGAAGATGTGAATTACACGAAAGCGCTTGGGAACTTCGTGTTTTCTTTTTTCCATGTGTTTATCAGCAAATAACTGAATCACGCGGACCTACAGTGATTTACTTACATTTAAGTATACTGCATTTATATATACTGCTAATGAATATGATGTATTTCCTTCTTTGTGTACGAACCTCTGACCTGCATGGCAGTGAACAGTGACATTACCCACATGAATCTGACCTCTATACATATATAGCTGTTAATGAATATGATGTATTTCCTTCTTTGTGTATGAACCTCTGTCCTGCGTGGCAGTGAACAGTGATACCACCTTCAGTGTCAAGACCTGACTGAATTACTCAGAATAGGCAAACTGTACTACAAGCTTTGCCAATAAATTTGTTAAACTAAACTATATATATACTTGTGACACTTGCCAGATGCTTCTGGTGTTATTGTACAGGGGTACCTAGTGACAACACTAGGATCCAGTTTCCTCTATCAAGGAATAAAATATTGAAATTGAATTGAAATGACCGGCTCCTACCAGTGTTAACACAGTAACGCTAAGTGCCAGTAGTACCATGACAATACTATCACAGTCACGTCTCACCTCCAGTACCATGACAATACTATCACAGTCACGTCTCACCTCCAGTTTGTTTACCTTCTCAGTAGCACACAACCCCTGGTAAAATAACTATATAATCATTATCTAGTCAAGTGTCCACATAAAACATAATATTTAACTCACCCATAATACCTTCAGTGTCTCGTCCCAAGGGAGGTCACCCGGGTCTGTTCCTTCACGTTCTCTAATTTCATCGTAAAAACCCGAAAATACATTGATTATTTTTTTTCTAACTATACATATTTGATTTATTAAATAACGTGTTTATTAATCGTAGAGTACTTCATTAATATATATATTTATTCTAATAATACATATATTTAAGAGTATGAGAATATAATATTAAATAAGTTGGAGTAACAAGCTAGCAGTCACTGAGGTACATGCTCGAGTCTTAACCTCCAGACAGACCTGTGTGTTGGACGCCTAGACAGATAATAAGTGGTTACTGTGGTTGGGATGGATTCAGGAACTGGGCGAGGTAGGGGCCGAGGGCGAGGAATAACAGGAAATGATGTGAGTGAGAGAGCAGATCTTAGACGGCCACATGGAGCTCCTGAGGTAGTCCAGCCTGGGGCTCCTGCAGCTGCCTCCCATAAACTAAACGCCACTCTCCCTACAGGTGTGAACCAGATGTACTTGTATTACTGATCATTCTAATAATCGGTTTAACACATGCCTCTGTAATTTTCAGCACAACTTGCATTATTTATAGTTTTAACTTAGATTGCTAACGGTACAAAACACAAATAGAAATTTGGTTGGTGATTATTTGTTAGTTTTGACCCTTATTTAGATGTGTCTCCTGTGTTTGATACTGTCTATGTGTACTGGAATATTACAAATTAGTTTTCAGTAATCTTGCGTTTAACCGGTCTTAAAAATGGTATTACAGTATTATCGTTACGGTCATCCAGCGATTTTTGGATTTATTGTTTTATAATTAGTAGTTTAGACAATTCTAAGACACCTTTCTTCTATAGACTTTCTTTCGCTCATGATTACTTTCAGAGAAAATCACAATAAATTTGTGGAAAATCGTCGTATTTTTTCCAAGTTCTACTTGATGTTACCAGTCCCAGAGAGCTCCTGTGTTGGTTCTTATGCTATATTCTGCATGCGCTAGAGTCTGACACATGCAAAGTTGTTCTTTGGAAGAGTCTGACACGTTAATTGGTGGGTAAGATTTTGGATCAACCAATCACAGTTCAGTATAGGTCCCCTCCATGACCCCTTTGGTTTTTAATTTATTTCCAAGATGTTTTCATTGTGCAATGGTAGTGATGTTGATTACTTCCAAGTCATCACAAGATATCACGTTGAATATTACGGTAAGGATGGTGAGGCATTGAAATTTCTCCACGTACACGGTGTTTTGCCAACTGAGGTTACTTGCGCGAACTGTAACCAGCCCTGTAGCTATAAAGTTGACAAAACACCTTTAATCTAGTGCGACCTGTGGTTGATGAGTCTTCTGAGTCTAATTAAGGTAAGCACTACTGATTCCAAAACTTAAAATCCTAAAAATCGCTGGGTGACCGAAACGATAATACTGTAATACCATTTATAAGACCGGTTAAACACAAGATGGTAAATTTGTATTAGTGCGCACAACTCTGTTACGAAGTCAAAACAAACAATTTCTAGTGTATTTTTGTTTTGATTTCCTTTGAAGTTGTCTGTTTTTTAATTATCGGGGGTTTTGGGTGGGGCGTTTTCCGACAAAAATCATGGCCAAGCAAATACAAAATACACACACAGAAAAACACTAGAGAAACATATAAACCAAATTTTTTTTTGGATGACCTAACCTAACCTAACCATTTGATGGAATCACTTATTTCTTACTTTATTGGCCTGGTTCTGGTGCCTATGTGATCACTGGCGGTGTACGAACACCGTTTCTTCTTTGTCTTGGGGATAAGGGATGAGTTACCACAATGCCACATATGTTGGTCTGGACGATATTTACATTCGTTCTTACACTTAGGACACTTTACTGATGTCGGCAGAACACCATAAGATATAGAAATGCTAAAGCTTGTTTTGTTTTTTCCCCAAAACGTGCTATCAGCTCCATATAATTGAAGTGACACCCATCACAGACTTCCATGGTCGGAAATTAATTTGAATTTCGAAATATGAGACCCAAAATCACAAAGAATCTGATTGGGCAAAAATGGCATCATCACTAATTTAACCAGCCATTGCTGCTTATGTTGCTGTCAGGGGTGGTGCATGGCTTGGTCCACCTAAAATATATTACTCGGTAAAGTATACCAATAGTTAACAATTGCTTATCTGAGTATATGCGTTATCACAGAGTGTTGTTACTTATAAATACATGATTAAAATTACAAAGTGGATCAAGACTGTCATGACAGTCATTGTAAACTCGGAAGATTAAAAGCCAAGGTTAGGTAAGGCTGCCAAGGTTCTAACCACAGATATGAGAGTAACCTTTATGTTATAATCAGGACTAGGAAACTTATCTAACAGCCTAGGTTCCTGCTCTCATCTAAGGCAGTTTTGGTATATTACAGTAGATTAGGTTTGGTGACCATGAGATTAACTGAGAAATTTCGCTTACAGTAATGACATTAGAAAATGCTAAGAAACAAGTACTGTATTTTAACCCATCTAGCAGTGTGTAAAATATAACATATAGTATCTAGAAATACTATACAACATAAGGGATATTTGATTTATGTTTTAGCAGTACATAATGTTTTGTTACCTCCAATTACCAACAATATTGGTTCTCAAAGTGGACAGGGGTTGAAGAAGAGGGAAAATGTGGGGTAAAATTATACAGTATAAAGAACACCAAAGATACCTTTAAAAACCTTACTTAACTTCTTAAAATCCTAAAACTGAGAATAACTTATCTTATAAGGTAGAGCTTCTGGACACGTCACATGACGTTTTGATCTTTCCCAGGCCTCTTTAAATAAAAAGGGCGGGCCTGGCTAGATTATAACGTTGTTGCCAAATATGTATTTATCTTTCATTCACCCACACATAAGAGCCTCCCAGTCTCTTCTGTGTAGGTTCTCAGCCTTTGTGATGTAGGCATCTAGCACCTTGAACTTGACTCACGTCACCACGTGTCTTTACCCTCCCCACCCCCAAGCACATGTACAGTATAGTATTGTGATCAATTACTGGAGCATTAATAATGATTGTTAATAGTGTAAATAATAATAACATAGTCAAACAAGTGTCCTGTACCTCATACTACCTACAAATTAGTGTTTTTTGTCTCATTATTACTGTGTCACATACACGCCAGTTCACGAACATTCTCGACTCTCCCTAGCCTGAGTGTTGCCTGTTTATATCATTCATGGCCAGTTTGTAAGACTAGAATTGCTTTTTGTTTGTTTTCAAATGTTCCTGAATATACCTGCATGGGGGATGAGGGTTTGCTGACCATAGCCTGAAGCCCAGGGGTTAAGAATTCATGACCCCACCTTGCAGATACATTCTGTAGCGAGTGTACATATAAGATGAATCACTATCAAAATTTTCTGTTTATCATGTATAGGCTATGTGGTTCCTCATAGATTTATATTTTCTAACAGTCTTTGCAGACTTGTTAAGATGCTGAAATTACCAGTCTTAGAACATACTAAAGAGGTTACTTTATTATGTTTCAGGGAATTTTTTTTGTCCATATTGATGCATCTCCAATTATACAATGGGAGTTGGCGGTAAAATTGGTTTCAGGTATCTACAGTAATGGAATTTTAGTACAGGTAACAGATAACTTTTAAGGAATGTAATCCTTCTGTAACTCAAGGGATGTCTGTATCATAAAACAATATTTTCACCCACATTTGCATACTTTTTCCTTGCTATTCACCATGGTAGTAGAAAAAGCTTCACTATTTACATCCGTAAGCTGAAAACCAGAAACCAAAAATTGAGTGATTTTGGGGTGATGTGGTAAGTGGTTCACAATTGATCCAAACCTGATGCCTTTTTAAATATTATTAAATTATTTTTTTTACAGAATCTCAGGAAGAAAAATCCAAGAGGACCTTTTCACTTTCTGCAGATGCTCCAGAATTTGTCCCACGGATATTTGTTCAACCCCAGCCCCAACCCCAGCCCCAACCTCAGATCCAAATCCCAAACCCAACTCAAAATATTCAACAGCAGCATCAGGTAAGATGCATATAAGGTCACACTGAATTTTTTGAGGTCTAAACCTTAATGCTCTAAGCAGTGTATGGAGAGGATTTATAGAAATTAATCAAAATGTAAAATTTTATTTTATGGTTGAGGGCCAAGAAAGTGACCTATGAGACACCAGGACACTGAGTAGCTACTAGATACCCCACAAGAGAGTCTGCCAATGTTATAATGCATAATATTGTACTAATTCAGTGACAGGTTGCACTTGACTAACACAATACTTTACTGTACTATAATACAAAGCATCTTTTTACTCAGTCACTCCAGGAACCTTTTAGGTGCAGATGTGTCACTACCTTGTTAGTTATTGTTTACCTTATATTTTGTTGATGAATTGGATTAACAAATCTAAAATAAAAATAAAAATCACTTGTTAGTGGTGAACTACTTCGGATAGCCTAAGAACAACCACCAAATTCCTCCTCCGCGTCTCCTCTCTCTCTCAATTTATGCATTGCTGCCAGATTTGCTTGATCTCATCTGTTTACTTTGAGTAAAACCTTACCAAAGACCAATAAAATTACTGGAAAGTGCCCAGCAAGCAGGGATGGCATAATTTAAATTTAGTGATTTAAAACAATGAATGAAAGCATGCTTTAAATCAACAATTTTAAACACAAGAATATAAAAAATTTCCTAAATATATATTTTCATGAAATTAATTGTTCAACTTCAATCTTCCTAATAATTTAATTGATGACTGTTGATAGCAATTGTGAGTTATAATTAGGAATACAGTATATACATTGAACTACAGTAGTGTTTTCAAACATTAAAATCACTGAAGTTATTAAAGTAGTACAGTAATTATATGTTTAATGAAGTATGAAAAGTAAATTGGAATACATAATAAACATAATTTAGCAATTACAATTGTAAAGATAGTGTATATGAACAAAAAGAAAAATAATATTTTATATATCAGTGTACAGTATATAAAAAATAAATAAAAATTGGTTGTACTGTACAATACTACTAGTATAGATTTAATACTCTTGTTCCTCTTTTTATGAAATTATCTGGATTATCAGCATTTAATTTATTTTTTATATTTTATTCATTTTAGTTGGGAAAAATTAATAAGTAATATATTACTGTACTATACCTTTACAGCTTTGAGTTAATTTGGGGAGAAAGGGGTCTGGACTTGTCGATTGTCCAAACTTTTACCAAGTGGGGGTTCTGGAGGCCACTGTGCTCTAAGCAGCCACTCATTAGCCCCCCTGATGACTCTAAAATTTGTCATTTGTATTTCCTTTTACATTTTTCCTTTACACTATACCCTCATTAATTTGACAAAAAAGGGGTTCTGGGTCACTCAAATTAACAGAAAATCTGAATTAACCCAGTTTGGAATATTTGGACATTATTCAACAATTTCCGATTTTTTTTTTTTTTAATATTTGTTCATTTCTGTTCAGTTTTTGCGCATTGCTTTCTCTGCCACAAAAAATAATCTATTTTTAATTATTGTGCAAACATACCCGGTAAATATTTTTAAAATGTACATACAGTAATAATAAAGTAAATAATACAATAATAAATAAATGTAACACTGTAAGATGAGGGTTGAGGTGATGAGGCAAGAGGTGAGCTGATGTGACATGACAAGGCACTTACTACACGACTCTGTGGAGCGAATTGTGTTCGTTAACCGACGGACAACTGTAATTATAATTTACCCCTAAATATGTGCATGGGAGTGTATGTGTGGGAAGTGAACATATATGTGTGAAGACAATGAGCACTGAGTTGTAACTATCTCGACTTGCCAGTCAGCATATTTGAAATCACAGCATATGGACACACACACACACACACACACACATCTCTCTGAGTGTTGGTGACTGTCCGGCAGATCTGTTTCGCATGATGGTGCAATTTGACTATGTTTGCACTTAGACAAACTAATCAGTACTGACCCATCCTTCCGTAAAGGAGAGGTGGATGAGACTGGCTGTTGCTGTGTTTGCAATTTTTTTTTTATTCATTATATTCTCATATGATCAGCCTCTAATGGTGTATGTTTCATCATTAATAATATAAAATATTAAATTATAGAACAAATATGATATACTATACATTTGTACTGTAATATGTGATTTGACTTCAAAATACTGGAGACTCAGATGGAGTACAGCGAGTGTTTGTGTGTGTGTGATATATGGATGATGCAATGTGCGCTCATCTTCTGCGCTATACCGGGAGGATTACCATCACCATTGTTTTAATTATTTTTCTGTGGCTGAATGTGTGTTGAACTTAAAGTTAACCAATCACAGTGGAGCATTATGGGCAAGTTCATTCTAAAAGTGGGGGAATAAACTGCTCACTCACGGGTCTGATAGGAGGAGAGAGGCCCCCGTGTGATTACTCGCTGGCGACAAATTCAAATGATCGCTCGTGGCTGGAATTTCAAGTGTCAAATATTTAAGGGTTCAAAAAAAATTTTCTTGCCCAGAAAGACCAGATCATCTGAAAGCTGAACTTCCAGGGTCTGGACTTTTGAGGGTTTATTGAATAAAAACACTTTCGTTGCCCCATGGGGTACATGCCGCCACTACCCAAGGTGAACGGGGCATGGACTGATGACCATGCGAATTTCATCATTGACTTAGACCTTTCATGATAAATATTTAAAAAATTTTAGCTGCTCTGAAGTGCTAATGCCTTGAAATCATTTACATTTTGATAGTCAAGTTATTTAACATTATTTTAGGGAATACAGTACAGTAATATCTCCATTAACCGGAATCCCTCAAACCCGGAACTCTCCGATAGCTGAAAGTGAAATTTTCTGAGGGGCATATTTTCCAGAAAATTCTGAGAATTTTTTCCCGATATCCAGAACATTCTGGGAATGGGGGAGTTTTCTCCGGGTTTGCGAGATGAAAATTGGGCGCATTTTCCAGAAATTCCAATAAAAAATTTCCGATTTCGCAAAATTCCGGGGGTGATGGATATTTTTCCAGGTTCGAGAGATGATGTAATGGGCAATTTGTGGAACTTCTAAGAACATTTTTCCGTTACCCGGAAAATTCTGGGGATGAGGGATTATTTTCTCTCTTGGAGAGAGTCGTCTCGTTACAGCAGGGCCGGGATATATACCTCGACTTTATATTGTATTGGCAGTTTTACATTTTGCAAGCCCTTATTGAGCGAGGGACTACAGTAATGTATTATGATTTTTAATTTTTAAAAAAAATTGTGAATTAAAGATTTTTCATTCTTTAATAACTTTACCTTATGTTTTCAGAAATGAAAGGATTTATTTCATGATGTATGTTAAGTAGGTCCCACATACGAGGTCTGTCCAAAAAGAAACTGAACTTTTTAAATAGCGCGCCAACGAGTTGGCGCAGCGTGCTTGCGATGAGAGCGCTGTGTAGCGGTGACCTTGAGCTTTAGTCTAACACTAGCCACATTACGCCACGTCAATTAGTCATCGAGGTACACACGCTAGAGTGAATGTGTGTTTAGTACACTTGGCGATTTGTTGCAAGTTGGACAATGAAGGATCTTGAAGAGCAACGTGTTTGCGTGAAATTCTGTTTCAAATTGGGAAAAACTTTTAAGGAGACTTTTCAAATGATGCAGCAGGCTTATGGGGAGGATTGTTTGAGCCGTACGCAATGTCACATGTGGTACCGGCGTTTCAAATGGGGAAGAACATCCACCGAAGACGATCCCAAATCTGGATGGCCTTCCACGTCAACGGACGATGATCACGCTGAGAAAGTGCGTGTTGTGATCCGTGAAAATCGTCGCCTGACTGTCCGTGAAGTTTCCAAAGAAGTAGGCATCTGTAAAAGTTCGTGCCACACGATTTTAACCAAAAAACTGAAGATGCATCGTGTTGTCGCAAAATTTGTGCCGCGTCTGCTGGCAGATGAGCAAAAAGAGAACCTTGTCACAGTCAGTCAGGAGCTGTTTGATCATTCGAATGCTGATGAAAACTTTCTGAAAAATGTCATAACAGGTGATGAAACGTGGGTGTACGGCTAAGATGTCGAAACAAAAAGGCAGTCGTCACAGTGGGTTGGAGCATCTTCGCCACGACCCAAAAAGAGCACATCAGAGTCTCTCAAATGTGAAGGAGATGTTGATAGTTTTTTTAATTGGAAGGGTGTCGTTCATCATGAGTTTGTTCTACATGGTATAAACAGTTAATAAAGAGTTTTACCTGGAGATCCTGAAGCGTTTGAGGGAGGCAGTGCAAAGGAAGAGGCCTGAGGCGTGGACAAACAAAACCTGGATGCTGCACCGTGACAATGCACCTGCTCACGTGTCGCTCCTTATCCGTGACGTTTTGGTGAAGCACGAGACGACTATCGTCCCCCAGCCACCCTACTCTCCAGATTTGGCCCCTGCGGACTTTTTTTTTTGTTCCCAGAGTTGAAATCCACCCTGAAAGGTTGCCGATTTCAGACGATAGAAGAAAATTTGCTACGAGACCTGCGCACCATCCCTCAAAACGCGTTCCAGAACTGTAAAAAACGTTGGGAGCGGTGTATCAACAATGGAGGAGAGTTCTTTGAAGGAGACAAGTCTGATTAAGTTGTAAGTAAAGCAATAATTTTTTTTTTTTAAAGTTTGGTTTCTTTTTGGACAGACCTCGTATATATGAGAGCCCCATATAATCACAGTCTGCTACATGTTTATCTCTGTAAGTGTGTCATTCTAAAGTTAATGTGATCAGCATAGTTTATCACTTAGTCTATATAATTTGGTTGTTTTTATCATTAAGGATACAGTACATTGTACATAACATTTGTTTTTCTTTACTTCTACCAAAAATGAAAATTTTTTACTACCAAGTTTAATATGTATAAATTTGTCTAAATTGCTCAGACAATTACAGACCAATTGACTCTTATTTTTCTAGTATTTAATATATTAGTTTCTCCCTGCAGGTAACAAGTCCAGTAGTCCCTCAACCACAGATTCACTACACCTGTCACCCAGTTGTTCTACAAGTTAACAACTTAGTTGTACAGCTTACTTTAAAACCCAACAGGTAAGGACAACAAAGATTTTGGTAACTTTTTTACCCTTTCTCACTTTTCTCTGGTTTTCTTCACTTTATTTTCCTAAATGGTAGTGAAAAGTGCTTTTAGTTGTAAGTTTTTGTTTGTGTGCACACCATTTTTTCTTCGTAAACCTTTGGGTACGTTTTTATGAAATTTGAGACTTAGGTTCATTGAATGGTTGCTTCAAGAACCCAGTGCATTTTATTTGGATCAAACAACTTGTATGTGCTGAGGTTAATGTTATAGTTTTCTTTTTTGTGTTATAACTTTGAAATCTTGGTGGATTTCAATAATATTTACTGTATAGTTGCCTAGCTGCTGTCAAGAGTTTAATGTTGACTCATGGCTTTTTAATGGAGAGGGTGCCACTCCATGACTGTCTGGTCCCATTGACTATTCAACACCACCTGGTGGAGTGCCCCAGTCTCAGGAATCTTCATCGTAAACATCTCTCCCAGTGCCAGGGGGTGGGTGGGAGACCAGGCTTACCGTCTCTCTTTGTTGCTAGCGGGGGAATGGATAGTGTGGGAGGGGACGACCTCTCCTTCGTGAAGGAAGCTGGCCTTCTACACAAGCTTTGAGTTTTATCTATTAATGTTTAAATGTTTTTTTGCAAAAGTTCTATGTTATTTGTTACTTATGTTTTTTTACCTTGCATTATTTGGTTTTCGCCTTTTAAGCCTTAATTTTAATTCAGCAACATACGACCTAAGCTGTTGCATTGCCAGGGTGTAATTACCACAAACAATCAATCAATCATTATTACATAAAAAAGCAAGATTCATCCATATTAGTTAGGCTTTATGACTCCTTTCTGGCTGACATTCTAAACACTCTTGAAGTCTTAATAAGCAGCAGCTCTTCCTGAAACATCAGTTTTGTGTTCGTCCCAAGCTTCACTTGATTCTTTCCTTTTTTTTTGCATAGTCAACATGGCTGCTATGCCAACCATCTTGGATTTCAGGTACTGAGGTTAAACTTTTGGTTAAGTTTTAATTTTACCTTCTAGAAGAAATGTCATTAGATTTTAATGGAATTATGTATTTAAGTGCTCTGTGATACCTGGAACATCATTTTCTTTTGCCATTATATTCACAAATTTAGCCATTCTACATTCCTACTGGTTGCCATTGTGTATAATAAATTCACTAACTGATGTCTAATTTTGATTGAATGTTAAATGGTGACTGCTTTTTCTAATGTATCCTCAAAGTATACACGTTTAGAGAAAACTGAGTAGAAGTAAGTGTGGTCAACTTCTTTTTTGATAGGAAAGGATGTACAATACTGTACAACAAAGCGGAAGTGTTGTCCATTCCGGTGAGAGTTGGGTCAGTCAAGTTGGCTCTGGATATTGATACGGGTGCGTGCGCTAATGTATTAGGTTTGGCATCCTATCGAGTTACAACGTAGAGCCCCTCACCGAAATTCTTCATTTCGACCTACTGACGCCGATGTCGAAGGTGTTTCCGGGACGCAGCTGAACATTACAGGAAATTGATATAAATTATAATGAAAATAATTAAAGTATCAATAGATGAACAGGGGAAAAATAAATACTGGGAATTATATTACATCAATACTGTATACATTAAAACGAGTAAGACATCTATAAAGTAAATACAGCTCCTCCCCGACTTACGATGGGGTTAGGGACCCTAATCCAGGTCATAAGTCGAAAATGATTAAATAATACATAGAAAATCTTAAATGGGTGTTTCTTTTTCTTCTCAGCACCACAAAACTCTCACTTTTAAGCTTGCCAGCCATTTTAAAGTGAATTACAAACGAAAATTTTGCCAGTACACAGTGCAATCACTGACTTTGGGACTCGAAAATACATAATTTGACAAAATATTGGTACGACTGAGGCGTTCGTATGTCCGGGTGGTCGCAAGTCGAGTAGGTCGTAAGTCGGGGAGGAGCTGTATAACCTACACGACGGCTAACGTGTGATGGTATGCTGTAGAAACTATTCATGTGGGTATATATATACAGTATTGTATACCTAAGAATACCTATAAATATAGTCTTGAGTCGATACAGAAAATGGGAGCCGTCACAGCTGATGGCAAGGTCTCTGTCAGTGGGTCAATGTCCTCCGTGTTGATAGTAGAACAGATGATGTCTCCGATGCATAGCAACTGATTGAAGCTTCAAAATGGCGACTGTCGAGTCCACTTCAACGACGGGGAGTTCACTATCCACCAAGATGCTGGCTGAGGGCTGGAGAGTTGCTGGGTTCACTGGAAACGTCTACCACGGGTGAGAGTCAGGGTTCTTCTGTGTGTGCCAGACCTATGGTAGCCCTGTATATATGGGACTTGCTGGGTACACACGGGAAGTAAACAACTGCAGTCGCGAACAGCCAAAACACTGTTTAAACCACTTGTGATGTCTAAATGGTGTAAGGTCCACGTGTTGCACAACCTCGAAGCACGCAGGTATGTGGCATCACTGTAAGACCCAATGGGGCTGTTACTGGGGGTATCCGCTACATCTCCCAGCTCGTTATTTTCCATGAGACCCAGCCCTTACCAACAGCGGGAGAATCTAAAATGTAACCTATGTAGTTGGCTAGGGATTACTGTGTACATTACTTGGAGTAAGTCAGGAGTTTATGTTCCCATAACTGATGACTCGCTAAGTAGGATGAGATGGTTCGGGCAAGTAGAGAAATTGGATTGAATTTGAATGTGAAGGAGAGGAGAGCAAGGAGTAGGCCAAGAATGACGTGGGGAGAGGTTGTAAAAAAAAAGACCACAGAGATAATAACAACTTGATGAGAGAGGTTACAAGAGACCATACATCTTGGGGACCTGTCTTTGGGTAATCATGGCTAATCCATGCAAGTGTGGAAAATAGCCATAAAACAATGATGATGATGATGATGATAATAATCATCATCATTGTTATGTGTAGATATCAGAGTGAAAGGGTAAAAAACAGTGATTCATAAGAATAATTTTTATGATCCATTTTTTTTTACAGACATTATATAAGCGCTCCTTATTTTCAGATTTGAACAAGTTGCACGGCAGTTGACAACAATATTCACTTGGCAAGTGCAAGATGCATTCCTTATGAAAGAGCTTATTACTGTAATATTTGAACAGGTAAGTGTAGCATATTTAATATTAATTTAGTTTTCATATGTACAGTTGGCTTCTCTCCTGACTTTACCACTTAGCATTGCCAATCCTCTCTCTCCCTGAGGTCTGGACCCCCAAATTCAGAAATGTGAAGTTGAAACATTGCTAGTGAGTGGGAAGGAGAATGGAGAGGTATTTGTATTTCTGGGGGGAGTAGACTGGGTACTAATAGAGGGGTGAGGATAACATTTTGATTTTGGTGTTTCCTGTGCTAAAAGTAATCCTCTAGCAGTAGGCAGATGAAAATACTAAAGTTACTGTAGAATAAGAGGAGGATGAATTCATGCTCTAAGGAAGATGTTCCATTGCAAAAGTAGGCATTTATGAGCAAATTGATTATGGATATGTTTGAATCTATATCTTGTAGAAGTAATGAAGTTTTGTTTAACTCATTAAGTATGAAACGGAACTTCCTTGGCCGAATAAAATCATTTGGCGGTAGCCAGAACAAAATACCGTATTTTACAGCATATAAGACACTTTTTTGTCTGAAAATTGGCTCAAAAATCATTCTGCATCCAATATGTGAAGTTGTGGTCTCTCGCAAGCTAATGAATCCTAAGGGCAAACACATAAAAAGAATTTACATTTCTTTGGACGTGAGTTAGCTGGCTTTAGTGGGGGAGTGAGAGGACAGCTGGCGGTTGGTGGTGGGGGGGGGGTTGCTAGGGAATCGGCGGAGATAGTGTCGCCGTTGCTATGGTGAACAGGGATTACAGATATACAGCAAACCCCTGATAACTTGGCATATGAGGCTCTGGCCTTGCCGAGTTATCCCAAATTCCAACTTATCGAGGCACTTCCCCCACCCCTGCAAAAATAAAAAATTATCGACCCATATATGAGTACATGTAATTATTAAATGTAAAAAAGTAACATTAACCAGCACTGCAGGTGAAATATAAAGCATCATAGTAGGTGACATAAGTGGCCAGATATGCCAAGATTTTCCCAGATAATTTTATATATCTCGGCATTGCCTGAGTCATACTATAATTATACATTTTGAGACCATATTCATGCCGAGTTATCAAGGGTTTACTGTACAGTATATGCAAATAGTGACTGTGTTAAACTTTCATTTGGCTTTTATTACGAGTTTGGCAATACGTACAGTATTTATTGGTGTTAGTTTTATTTATTTATCACATTTACTGGTACTGTATATACAGTGAACCCTCAAAGATTTGGGCCCTGTAAATCCGGATTTCAGAAAATTTGGACAAAAAAGTGGGGGATTCTGGGCTTGGAATCCTCCCTATGAAGTATTCCCAAAACAGGGTGAAGGTAGTTTTTGGCTTAAAGTTTTTATCTTATAAAATGTCACAGACTAAACTTAGCAGAATATAACTTGCATTGATGGAATCCTTGCAAGATAGTAAACAATTTGAGTATGAACATCACATAGTTTGCACAAGAGATAAAAATTTTAGTCCTTTCGTGTACAGTGGTACATACCTACTGTATACAGTAAGTACAAGTTTTTCAACTTGTATTTTTGGATAACTTTCTTCATTTGTTTTTACTTATTTACATACACATACCATCCTAAATGTGTTACCCTGTTACCGCCTCCAACTCCGTGCGACGCAAAGGGCCTCCACATACTTGTGCCAGCTATTTTGATCTTGAGCCCTTTCCATGGTTGTATTAAACTCGTCCTCCGTCTCCCTTCTTATAGCTTGGATCCAGGTAGGCCTTGGTCTTCCTCTTCTTCTCGTTCCGTCCACTCTCCACTCGACCGCCTCTCAATATTCTGTCCGGACGCACACGCAGAACCTGCCCAAGCCACCTCCATCTATTTTTCATCAACCATTCATCGAAATAGGGAACATTTGTGACTTCTCTTATTCTCTCGTTTCTAATACGATCATGCCATCTTATGTTCAAGGTTCTTCTCAATGCCATATTCTCGAAAGTTTGGAATCTTCTGGATAAAGTGTCATTATCATACCAAAATTCACCTCCATATACCAAAACGGGTCTTACCAGTGAAGTACAGTATATAATCTCGGTTTGGTATGAACTGTTAGTCTATGTGACTTCCACACTTTGCCCAGTATACCCATAACTTGATGACCTCTTCGTATTCTGCCCTGAAACTCATCTTCAAGTGATCCATCGTTTTTGACGAGTGTCCCCAAATACTTGAAGACAGGAACTTCTATAATTTGGTCCTCCATCTGAATGTTCCGTTCAATTTCTTCATCTGTTTTCATTACCTCTCTTTTTCTAACATTAATCGTTAATCCAGCTCCTTTTCCCTTTTCCTCCAGTCTGCTAACCATAGTTTGCAAATTCTGAATGGATCTGCTCATCAGTACTACATCGTCTGCATAATCCCAGTCTGCGAGGTATTTATTATCGACCCATTCGATCCCTTCTCTTTTATCACCCACTGTCTCTTTCAATACAAAATCAATAAGTACAGCGAACACCAATGGAGACAAAATATTACCTTGCAACACCCCACTCTCGACATTGAATTGTGAGGAAAGTTGGCCATCAACGCTCACACGACAACTGCTGCCTTTATGAATTTCTTCTTTCAAACAAACGTATTTTTCTGGCATTCCATAGTTCTGTAAGATTTTCCACATAGTTGGTCTATGTATGCTATCGAAGGCTTTCTCAAAATCGACAAATGCCATTATCAACGTTTTTTTTTAATTCCACACTGCTGTATTATGTGACGTAGTGCGAATATACTGTATGATCACTGCAGCTTCTTGATTTTCTGAACCCTGAAGAGGGTCATTGTGTTTCAACCCAAGTTTTAAACTAAATGAGTCCTGAGGGACACCGCAGTACAGTACTTAACGGGGTGGTGTGGCGGTAAAATTAACTAATTCCAATATTATAAATTAATTTTAGTGGAATTAGTTAATTTTAACTAATTAACTAATTCCAATATTATAAATTAATTTTATTGGAATTAGTTAATTTTACCGCCACACCACCCAGTTAAGTACTGTATTGCGGTGTCCCTCAGGACTCATTTAGTTTAAAACTTGTGTTGAAACACAATGACCCTCTTCAGGGGAAGATGTTGTTTAATAATACAGACGTGAGCCCTATTGAGGTTCATGACGGTTAAGGTGGGCACCTCCTCCACTTCACCTTCTTCTTCTTCCTCCTAATCCTCATCCTCATGACACTGCTCCTCGACAAGCTTGACCAGCTCTTCCCCAGCATGACCCAGGAGTTCCTCTTACACCTCTTCCTCTTGAAGGTCTTTGAACCCCTCACCTCCCACATGACGGGCAGGCCAGGCGATGTGCTGCACATCCTGGTTGACTGTGGGGAAGCCAGCAAAGTCTTTCACCACCTCTGGCCACAAGGCCCTCCAGCAGGAGTTAACACAGAGAACTGTCAGGTTATCATGGCACTGCTATTTGAAGGAGGTGCAGTCTGCAATGGATAACTCTTCCATATTTTCTGCACTGACTCGGGCACCACCCAGTGTGTCCTTTTCCAAGGCTTGCCGTATCCTGCTGAAGGTGCTTGGCTTTGAAGACAGCAATGACTCCCTGGGCGAGTGGTTGGAGCAACGATGTTGTGTTCTTGGACAGGAAGATCATCTCGACAACCTTGAGGGTCTTTGGGTGGCCAGGGCAGTTGTCGATCACAAGAAGGACTTTAAATTCCAGGCCCTTCTCCTGCAGGTAATCCTTGACCTTCCTCACAAAACAATTGTGAAACCAGTCGGTGAATAACACTGCCTTCATCCAGGCTTTCTTGTTGTGGTGGTAGAAAACTGGGAGGAGGTGCATGTCTTTGTTGTTGAGTGCACGCAGATGCTTAGCACAGTACAGCAGCATGGGCTTGATTATGTGTCCTGCAGCATTGCCACATAGCAGGAGAGACACAAGATCCTTTGCCATCTTGAAGCTCGGTGCACTCCTTTCCTTCCATGAAATAAACGTCCTGGCTGGCATCTTCTTCCACCACAAGCCAGTTTCATCAGAGTTGGAAACCTGCTCCGTCTTCTAGCACTTCTCCCGGATAATCTCGGTAAAGATCGCAAGATAACTCCCTTGCTGCTACATTGTCCGCCGAAGCTGACTCACCAGTGATCCTCAAGTTGTGCAGAATGTAGGCCTTCTTGAAGTTCTCAGACCACCTCTTACTGGCATTAAATCCGTTCTTTGTGGTATCACCAGAACCACCAGCACTAGCACCATCTTCACCACTCATTTCACCTGCACCACCTTCCTCAGCATGGAATCGGTCATACAGTACCTTGGCTTTCTCATGGATAAACTTTTGGCTGAGTGGGATGTGGTGGTGGTTAAAGTCCTCAATCCAGATGTTAAGGGCTTTCTCCATTTTCACCATAGCTGTATCCATCACATTAGCGGCAACCTTGGCAGTAGAGGGGGCACTTAGGGCAACGGCATTACGAATTTCTTTCTCTTTCTTCTTAATGTAACGGACAGATGGTTCATAATGCCACACGCAGCAAAGTTTTGGCCACTCCTAAGTTTGTCCAGCAGTTGTATCTTGTCCACTACAGTCAGGACCTTCTTTTCTCTCTTCACTTGTTTGAGCGCCTTACCGCAGCTGTATGAAGGTGGTTGAGGGCGTTTGGGAGCCATAACAAGCATGAGTAGCACAGGTGATACGAGCGGAGACTAGCACACACGCAAGACGGACAAGTGTTTAGCCTGGACTGAGGCGGAGCGAGCGGGAGTGCGTGCGTGGACCGGCCTCCCGGGACAAGAGAGACACCTTGCGGGACGCCACAAAACTCGCGCGCTCGCCGTACCAGCTGCGAAAATGCCGGCAACTTTAAAACTACCCGCAGACATTCTTGGGTATACATCCAGGGTGTCATCCACAAATAATAGAGGACTGCGAAATAAAAATCCGCGAATTATCAGGGCATGCTGCTGTATATCATTTCTCACTATTGATCTTTTTCTTGTTTTTTTTATTTATTTATGGTCCTTTATTATTATTATTATTATTATTATTATTATTATTATTATTATTATTATTATTATTATTTTTATCTTCATTATTATTATTATTATTATCATCATCATCGTCGTCGTCGTCGTCATCATTACCATTATTATTGTTATTATTATTATTATTATTATTATTATTATTATTATTATTATTATTATTATTATATTTTTGCCCCCAGGCCCTGATGTGGGTCATTGACCTGTGCCCTGGTGGACAAATCCCATTAAAAAAAAAAAAAAAACGTAGGCTTTGATGAGTGTTATCCACGGCCATGGAACCTAACCTCCTATTTCTCATAACCCTTTAGTCTTGTCCACCGTGGATTTGTCAACCATGGATTTTTTAAGAACCCAACCCCATGATTGGCGAGTAATTACTGTAATGTCCTGTCTAAGGCTGTTTTAGTTTGAACAATAGATGCACATATATTTGTGATTTCACCACCCCGATAAGTATAAGGGCCGAGATCCCAGGTCCTGGGACCCATGTTGTTGCATTGAATTAAAAATATAAGACCCTGAAAATTTTGACTGCTTACCATTTCATCAAATTTCTATTGTAAGGGAAGCACATGATTTAGTTACCCAATTGATAGAAGGCTAAGAGATTTTGCTGCAGAGCATACACCTTCATGCTTTAATCTGTTTTTATTTTGATCAGTTTCAAAGCTATGTCATTGGTTCAATGCCTCACTTTCCAGTCACCTGAGCTCCTTGTCAGATACTTGCTCTCTGGTTCTATTCCTGTTGACAGCTAAGTATTTAATTTTTCACATTTGAATACAGTGTACATGTCTCAGGTTTAACCAATTGTGTACAGGGTCCACTCTTTGCTGAATAAAATTGTCTAGTGTTAGCCAAATCAAATATTTAAAGTAGCATCCCTGTAGTGAAGGGATCAACTATAGTCATTGTAAAAGTGCTTACATTTGCCAAACAGCCTAGTGGCTGTGGAGTTGGTACAGGGCATGCACTACCCGACACTGTGGCCCTTTTCTTGACTAAGCCTATCCTTATGGGATTTGGTAATTGGCTTCATAGAGGAAGTTTCAGATTCTTTGTGTCTTGTTGTGGGAGTGATTAGATCTGCATATAGTATTGACTTTTTATAATGTAACACCTATCAGCACCAAGGCATTTCAGGATTTTCTTAGTCAATCAGCCTCTAGGCCATGACAACTGTCATATTCCAAAGATTTCTTACTCTCCCTTGACAATTGTCACTCAAAATGAAAGAATAGAACTCACAGTTTGCCAAAAGACATTGCAGCATGAAGCATCGACTCACTGGCAAGCTCGTTCTTTCTGTTGCACTGATTGCACCTCATTTGACAGTGTTATAAACTATTTGCAGTAATAGCCACTGTATCCAGTCGCCAATCTCCTCGAGGAAAGATGTGTCTCTTGAACTCCTTATTTATTTAAAAAAAAAGATGACTGCATGCCCCATTGACCCTGAGGTGAAGAAACTGGGTCACTTTGATATTTGTGTTGTGGCAGGAAGGATTTTTGTTGTAAGTGTTGACATATTTAATGAACTAATGATAGTGTGCTGGTGTTTGTGGTCTATGGGAACTTCTTGTACCCAGTGTTGTGGGTAGCCAATCTGACATGGCTATAGTTTCCACCAAGTGTTACATAACTGGTTAAAACCAGTTAAAGTTTTCTATGATGTTATCAATGTAATGTCATGTAGCATAACTGTTATAGTGTTATCTTTGAATGTTTGAGCAGTTTTACATGTACTGTGCTTGTTTGCATTGAGACTAGTAATTCACACCATACAAAGAATGGATAGGAATCATTGTAAACCTTTTGGTATTTAAACAATGGATGCTGAAGGACCCTTCAAGGGGCTTATAAGTTAATAGTGTATTGAGTTGTTTGTGTGAGTAATTTTTCTTTATATCTGGGCTTTACCTTCAACCACTATGCACATCTATTCCACACATAAGAGCTGCTCCAAATCTTCTCCAAGAGCTCCCAGGTGGGATACCAAAGGCTTCATTTCTTTCCTTCATATTGTTTTCATTGGCATTTAACAAGCTTGGATTGGTTTCATTTGCAATTCATTAGTTAGGTAGTTAGTTTACTGTTTTGTTTTGGGGAGCTGTTACAATTATTAGACTTGCAATTTATTAGTCACATAAAAGGGCACTTCATTTTAGATGAGACCAAGTTAAGTCCAACTAACCTGTACATAGATCTCTCTGTACATAGATTTAGCTTTTAGCTGGGTTTAATCCTTGGTCTTTTTCAGCTGGGTACGGGTGCAGGGGGTTTCCTGCTCAGGTTGGGGTCGCGGGATTGTGACAGGAACTTTGTCATGAGCTCAGGGAATTTGGGAAGGTACTCTGCTTGATTCCTGTGTTTGCAATTTTATGGTGAGTGTAATGGAAATTATTTGTTTTCCATGGTACTAAGAGCAATGTTTCCTTTCTAGGATTAGGTTGTTATTCTTTTTTTGGGTATAGGGCCTTTCTTTCAAATCAGTTACTGTCTTTGGATGATAGAGTGGTTGTGCCATTTAGCATCCTGTCCATATGGCCAGGTTCAAGAAAAGGTCTAAATTGTATATGGCTTCAGCATCTGCTCCACTTTCATAGCAGTGGAAGAGGAATTTGGGTTGACTGAAAAGACTGAGGATATCCTAGTGGGTGGACATTTGTTCCATTTTGAGATATTCTGAATGTGGGTCTTCAAAGCTGTGTCTTTAGGATTATAAAAGAGAATGAGAAAACTTCATACTGATCCTGGAGCTAATGAATCGGAAGGTTCTTTACAAAGAGAGCATCACAGGATAAGCCTGTGATGTCACAACAAAATATTTATAAAGGAAATTAATTAATCTCTTGAATGTGTATAAATTAATAAGGCATAAACTAGATTGTTTATGTTCAACAGTTTATATGGGTGTGTTCAGTCTGCCAAAATGAGCATGTTCAGAATTCCTGACAATGGGACATAAATGCAGTGATTGTGTGCACACTTTCTGTGACACTCCATGGCTCATTATTCCTTCTGTTTCTGATAACACCGCCTGTTTGTACGGAGAACTCTTTTAGGATTCCAGTTATAGTTGGATGGAGTAGCTATTTTGTTTAACAAAACATAGCCATTCTACTAAGGTGACAAATGGACAGTCAACATAGATTTAAGTACTGTATACTGTACGGTACATGCTTGTAAACGTGAGTCGTGCATAATAATCTTATAAAAAGGGATTTCATGGTTCTCATAGATTTTTCCTTTCAGAATCTTTTTTATCAAGATTATTAATATAATATCAAATTTGTTGTGTTGTTCCTTTATTTGTTTATTTATTTTTGTACGTGTTTGTTATGTGAGATTGTTTAATTGTATATTTCCACAGGGAGTGGGTGAAGTGAATTTCAGGTACAGTGGTGCTAGACTGTGCCAGCATCTGTCCAAAAATGTCACACAATCTTACAATGGACCAACCTTCAAAAGTGTCTTACTACAGAGGTCAGTATACTTTAGTCGTTTTGAAGAAGTTTATTATACAGGTTGACCTTCTCTTATCTGGCAACCATGGGATCAGAGCCTTGCTGGATAATAGACATTCCCATTAAGTAAAAGGTTGACAATTAATGGCACTGTCACTGCCAAAATATTTTCAACACATTTCAAAGCATTACTGTACTCATACAAACATTCAGATCATGTCATAATGTTTCAGTCTTCTATCCTGTGTTTTATAAAGTAAGGCACACCAAAGTGTTACTTAAATGCATGATTTTTGGCCTTTATATATTTCTATGTTGTCTGTGTTTTCTCAGATGCTACCAGACGTGTCGAGAGTATTTTGTCGGCGATTGTACATTAACCAAAGCTACACATAGCCTTTTTTTTTCTCACGCTCTCCACCAGATAACAGCTTACTAGAAAAAATGTGGGAGAGACGTATTTCTTACCGTAGAGTTTCAGGTACAGTCTCGAACGAAAGTTCTTGATACAATCAAGGAGGAGGGTGCAAAGTCCGCCCCTACCCTTACTGGATGGCAGGTCCGCTGTCCAGCCGTTGCCCCCGCCCCCCACCCCTCCCCTCCCCAACACACACACAAGCACCTATGCAGTTCAACAATTGATCTCTGATACTTCCATTTCTCAATAATGACTGGGAAAGAATATAACTGTTTTGTTAAATAAATTCTCATAACAATTTACTCAATAAAGTTTTATATTACTTGACATAATAGGTTATATTGTTATTAGATAATGGAGCATGTGTGTCTTGGTGGCTGGGGTTCACAACAATAATACCAGAATCCTCCAAGCTGTTTTGTCCCTCAGAATGGTAGCCAGACAACTAAGTATGAATGTGAGGGATAATATGGTTCATAAGAGAATGCTTTATCACCCTCCGTGATAATGGCCTTATCACAGGGTCTACACACGTAACCTTGGCTTGAGCCCTACAATGGATGACACGATAGGAGTGTGGCTGATATATGAATGACACGATTAATATAAAAGTGTGTCACAACTAGAAGTAGGTCACAACACCATGAATTAGGATTGGATGGAAATATAAGGTCAAAACAGCATAACCATTATTAGTTATATAGGTAACCATAAATGTTGTTTAGGTAATGTTATATACACTCAATATCTTAGTAATTATTTGCAGTTAAGAAAAGGTAAAATAATAGTTATAATAATTCAAACAACCTATTCTTTAGACTACAGAAATTATACATAACTCATATTGTCACCCCAATTATTCATGCAGTAGCCCTGCTTTTCATTGATGGCCTGTAGCCTGTCCAGCACGGATGGTCTCACACGAGCTCCCTGTAGTATTCCCACTGTCTGTTGATGTGCACCATAATGTCAAATAATGTAAAACTTGATTGGATAAACTGTTTTGTAAATTTATTAAACAAAACAGTGACATCCTTCCCCAGTCCTTATTGAGAAATGGAAGTATTGGAGCTTGACTGTTGAGCTGCTTGGGTGCTTGTTTGTGTGTTGGGGCGATGACTGGACAGCGACCAATAATTTCACTGTTTTTATATTTAGGAGTCATAGTTAACTTAGATATGACAATGTTCTCTTGGTACTTAATTTTCCAAGTAATTTGGTAATAATTTGGCACCCCTGGCCCCATGAATCACCAATATTGCTCCTCTAAACAACATTAATCTCTCTATTTTGAAAGAAATGCGAAATATATTTTTTTAGATACTGTGCCAAATAAAGAAATTAAACTTTTTTTTTAACTACACTCCTGTCCTATCTTTAATAAGTCATATTTTCTAGACCAGTGAAATATCTGTCAGGCCTGGCTTGGCACAGGCTGAGTCACACACCTGCCCTCCCTCCCTCCACTCACCCTGGTCACTTTCACAATAGCACTGGACTGGTTTTATAATTATTGTCTCGAGCATGGTATAACAAATAACTACAGTACTATAAGTCTGCTTATTTAAATATTAAGTAAAATGTCTGCTTTGATTTACTCAGATAGAACTTTAGTTTCGTCTTGTCTCAAACCTCCCAACTAGATATTATTTTCTCTTTTAATGCAGAAGACGGAGTGTCTATTTTCATTTGATTGTCAATTATTTTCGTGTAGACAGTAAGTCCTCGTTTAACGTCGTGGTTCCGTTAATGAAAACCGCAACGTTGACGGAAACAACGTTAATGGAATCAATTTCCCCATAAGAAATAGATCAAATACGGGAGTTATGTTCCTGATCCTCTCTTTGCCCCACGAAATACATTACATATACAGAAATTCAATGGCATTTTTATAGAAAATAGTATTTATATATAACATTAAATCATTTTGGGCGGAGGTGGTGGAGCGAGTGTGTGGTGGGTAGTGGAGTGGAGGAGGACGGGAGAGGAGGAGGGTGGCAAGTCACTGAGACCCGGCAGGTGGCTCCTCCTCCCGGTTTAAAACTTCCCATTTCGTGGCAAGGCTAATGGTCTTATGTTGCTTCTTCACAACACTAGCATCAGTAGCACTTGATGAGCAAAAACTCTTAAGCACGCACGGATGATGTAAAGTCGTAACAGAGACTGGTTTGGCGTCGCTTGGGGACGCTGTGACGTTCAGCGAGTGGGGGCAGTGCGCCGAGCCCAGAAACCGTAGCGCAGCCAGACAGGAGCCTGTGATGCGCCGTAGAAAGTAGTCCGTGACGACGCAAAAGACGTAGTATCGGATCACTGGGACGTTAAACGAATTTTTGGTCTCTTAAAGTTTAGCTACGTAATACCGAAACAACTTTAAGCGGGACGACATTATACGAGGACTTACTGTACTGTACGGTACTATAAAGATAAAAATAAGAAATAATTGTATGAGTATAGTGGATGTGGAAGACGAATGTTTATCTGGGAGCAGCTGGCAGAGGGGGGGGGGAGGTGTAGCATGGGTGGGTGGCTCCCTCCCCCCACCCTCTCCCACAATAATCCTTTAACACTTCTTTATGCAATTCCACCACAATTCTCATATAATTTAGGATCATTTGGTGCCAGATTGATAAAATATTATCCTAAAAGAATCAACTTTCCTGAAGAATTCCACACTGAACACCATGAGTCATTTCATACTCATTTGTTTACAAAGAGCAAACAGCTGATCAGCTTACCACAATGTCTGTCTTCAACACTTAGTATATTAGTACAGTACAGTTGTGTAGTTATCACCCCTTAATAAATATTATTGCAGTGTATGTTTATCACCACTTAATACTATTGTAGTGTATTTATCATCACTTAATAAGTAATATTGTAGTGTAAAGTATTATGCATCTGCATAAACCGGGTACCCTGATTTATTCATTAATCATTTGTCTAAATACAAGTAGCCAAACTGCATCATCATATAACACTCAAAGGTAGTAAATAACTTTTTTAAGAAGGTATCTTAATATCAAATACTATTCAGTGTGTTATAGTGACCCCTGTTGTAAGCTGGTCTACCAAAAGCTCTCACATGAATGCATCTTGAGTAATTAACCTTCTGATACAGCTTATCCTTTCATTTTCAAGTCATATTACAAATTACATACAGTATTTTATTTTTTCTCTATTACTGAAGATGTTATATTTATCATGAAGAACCATAAATCATAAGAGGCCAATCATATGAGAATATAATACTGAATCAATAAATAAATAAACCTGACAATGTGGCAGCACCTGATCAGCCCCAACCAGCTTACATACTCAAGTGTCTTAGTTCTCAGTAGGTCTATAGCAAACTGATTAGACCTCTGTACAGAATTCAGTAAGTGTTGTTCAGTTGTATCTTTCGTAAGATTTTTTTATTCAACCTTCCCCATTTCTTAATTTTTTATTTTTTTATTTTTTTATTTTTTATTTTTTTTTATTATTATTATTATTATTATTATTATTATTATTTTTTTAGTGATTCCAGTGATCAGAGCATCTGAGAGTCCCCAAAAAGTGAATTCCGATATATTGAAGTTCGATTTATCAAGTTTATACTGTAGTTTCATAACTTGGTATGCCATATCTCTCTCCCTACATGCAAGAGAACAGGAGCGATCAAATCATGATTGAAAAATGAAAGTTTTGGTAGAACATGGGATAAGTGCACTCGTACCACCTTGTATAACCCCAGCAATGCTATCAGCACATACTGAGGCGTCCTGAGTGGAAAAGCAACATTCATCCCAGGGAAAGTCAGAGAAGAATTCTCGCAAGGATTGCCAGTTTGCCCTCCGATAGTGCCATAGTTGGCATTTAAAAGGAGGTGGGGGAGGTGGTTGTGCTCAGTTTGGTTAAATAGAAATAAGACAGTGATCAGAAGACCTTAAGGGGGCAGAAATTGAGTATGAATAGTGTGAGGGGTTAGAGGTAAAACCACGATCAAGAATGTTAGTCGATCTGGAACACGTATAAGGTATTTAATTATTTGTTCCAGATCATTAAGTAAGGAAAAAGAGAGTGCCTCAGCTCCACCTGGGTCATCCCTTGCAGAGCCAAGCCACTCTCTGTGATGTACAGTACATTGAAATCCCCTAGGTAGAGGATCTCGATGTTGGGGTGTGTGGATAGGAACGACTCAAAGCAAGAAGTGAAATAGTCAAAGAGTTCCAAATAGTTGGTAGAGTTGGGAGAACAGTATAGAAAACTCAGAAAAATAGTCATAGTTGGTAGAGATATTTTGAGCCAGATAACATAAAGAGAAGATTCAAGATCCGTGAGTCGAGCTATAGGTGTACCCCGGTACGTGTGTTGCAGTAGGCCCATACACTTCCCTTTGAATAGAAAGAGGTATAAAGGTTGTAGTTGGAGACTTGAAAGTGTTTGGGTGTAGCTGCTTTGGTCAGTTGAAGTTCAGATAGTAGTAAGAGATCGGGGGAAAAGGTTAATAGATGTGCTCCACATAAGGAAAATTGGATATCAGGCTGTGAATATTGGAAAATTTAACTGAAAAAGGTCGATCCTCCAGCAACAGTGGTGACCCCAGTAGTTTGATGATGATC